AAAAAAAAAAAAAAAAACAAAGTTACCACAAACATCTTTCCTCTCATTATTCCCTAAACTTTTCTGATCGGCTTGTCTGAAATTATTTTAATTTTCATATATAGACGTCATACAGACGTCATGTTATCACTTACTTTTGCATGGTTCAAAGGCACAGAACAAAGCAAGGACGCTAAGGAGGAATGTTCTTCAGAAGCAAGTTCTTAAATAAAATCACTAAGCTTTGGCTACAGATACACTTTTTGATGTATTTAATGATAGTCACCAATGTACATCTTGGTTTCTTAGCAGGCTGGGCCAAAAGAGACCAGTGTTATCTACCTATGTCTCAAAGAACACCATCATCTTGCAGCACAGTGTTTTCCTCCATTCGTTTGCTTTTTCAATGCAGCTATTTTACACCTTACAAAAATTTAAGTAAAAAAAAAAATCAAAAGGAACAGCATATTTTTTTAAAAGTATACAATAGATACGACTATGAAGGGCAATTTTAATCTTTTACACCCATATACACAAACCAAAGGATTCCTAGAGAAATGACAAAGTAAAAACACTAAAAATGCTCATGAATTACAAAGTAAATTTGTGGAATGCAAATTCCAGGAACAGTGTTTAAATGATCATTCCTGAGGGGTGTGTGTGTGTGTTTGGATTAGTATTTATATACTTTCCTCTCCCCATCCAAAGAAATATAATTAGCATAAGGGCAATCCTGGCATACAGCACTCAGCCTGCTAAGCAGAATGATGCTACAGTTCTCCTGTAGCTGCATTGATACAACGAAGAGACAGATTACAGTAAATTAAATCGACACCTTTTACCTCAGAGAAACCAAAGTTCAATCTAGTCGTCCAGTGAGACCAGACTGCTAAAATGAGCAATTCCCATATTAAAATGAATTTGCAGCAAAATGAATGAGATGCCATCATTGCCTCTGTGGACTGCATACTCATCATCACCCTTTTCTCTCAGGGCAGGTTCATTGACTAATAAAGCTGCTGGGAAGGCAGCAGCCAGTGCACATATTTCCCAGCCTTAGCCAGCCCTTCATGTCTGGAAGCAACAGCTCTGTCCTGAGGCATCCTATAAGATAACAGCTGAGTAAACTATCTACTTCCATATCTCTGCATTATTTGTAAATAATAAAAATTATCAAAAATAACATAACAAAAGACAACTTCACTTCAAAACACCAAGGTAACTGCAGCTTATTTGGGATTTTATCTATTTTATTACAAGTGCATGAAAGGTACCTATTTTGGCCAAAAGTTAAGTTTGGCATTTTTCTTTTTAAAATTTAAAATGCACATCCAGCTCCAGCCATGAGAATCCTCCGAAGCAGACGCCTTCCATGAAAGCACCACGTGCAGGGACACAGCAGATGCATCTTCTTACTTTTAGGCTCTGGTTGTCTTAAAGTACTGGCAAAACCCCATGTCCCAGAGCTCACTCTCTTCACAAGTGCTTCAGTAGCCCTTCCTTCCTCGGAACCTTGCTCTGGTATCCAGCTGCAGATTCAAGTCAACATGTTAGTAACATACCACACTTGGTGAAGAAATACTTCAGAGAGTTTGTGTTATTTTGCACTTAAGAAAAATCAGAGAAAAGCACAGAATAGGATCTGCTTAGGTCTGTTTTTCCAAACTGAATCAATAAACTGAAGGTTGAGTTGAAGTGGGAATCGCTGCAAACCTCTGTATGGACAGGAATAAAAATGTCTGAAAAATATGGGTAAAAATGACATAATAGTCAACTTTTAAAAACTAAGTTTACTCTTGGAAGTCAGAAAAAAAAAAGACATTTAAAGGAAGACAAAAACCAGCAGTAAAACTAAAATAAAGCTACTGTACAGCACTTACTGAAAGTAAATTCCAAGTTCTTTCCCAGTATAGCAGAAAAATATATTTGAATCTTGGGGCAGTTCTTCTGATTTTAGATTGCAGTTACAGAATACAATTTAGTGACAAAGAGTTACAGGAGAAAAAGAAGACACCTAACTCTCAAAATTGAGAACTGTGATAAACTTAAAGCGCTAAAAAGCAGGATTAGATGGTACAGCTTGATACAATCACCAAGCAGCTTCCACTTTAAACCCTGTTCCTACTTAAGTACCCAACCATACTGAAGTTTACTCCTCCAACAAAAGAATATATTCTCTGACTGAAAAAAAAAGGCAAAAACCCTAATGGGTTTTGCCACATTTTAATTATTTTTTTTATATTATGGCAATACAACAAACAAGACATTTCTGCACAAGGAATTCCGATCAAAAATGAGGAAACTCTATAGTTACACTTCCTGCTACCATCTATGATAATAACTAATTCCCTAGAAAAATAGACAGTTTTTAAGCATAAATTTATGCAATCATACATTTAGTCCTAATGTCAAATCCAATGGCTGGCTTTGACAGTCTCTCTCAACAAGACATCCTCTCAGCTTAAATATCCACTGTACCGTTTTTCTCCCAATGACTTTACAGACAAAAATTAGCCCCTTAAGTCTATACCTTACAATTACCTCATCTACTGATAATACTGTATTTAAATCAAAGTTCTATTGAAAATAGTAAAAAACATCTACCTAACCTACTGCCACATTCTAAGCCCACTTAAAATTTGCACCTTTTAAATCATAGTCACAATCTATAAAAATCATAGTCACAATCCATGAAACTTTATTTTGATCGATGAAAACGCTGTACAACATTCATGTATTAAATGGGATTGGAAAAAAAATATTCTGCTTCACAACATCAGGCTTCACTGAATAGAAGTGCGTTTTATTGTAAAAAAAAAATCAGGACAGGGAGAGAAAGCAGTTCTGAAAATGTGTAGAGGAGGCACTTAGCGACATGGTTTAGCAGGCCGGTGTTTGAAGGGTCACATTTGGACTTTATGATATTGAGGGTCTTTTCCAACCATAATAATTTTGTGATAATCCTAATAATTCTATGAAAGCAAGGTGGCCACCAGCCCTAGAAAGCGTCGCACACGCACTTACCATGGACCTTTTACACGCAAAAAATGTCATTTGCAAACTTCTGCAGTGGCCCTCCTTCAAGCACTGTCTAGGGCTCTTGTTCTCCTGCGAGGTGAAAAATGGGAGATTAAAAATAACCATAATAATAATAATCACAGAATGGTCACAGAATCCCAGAAGGGTTGAGGTTGGAAGGGACCTCTAGAGATCATCTAGTCCAACCCCCCTGCTCAGGCAGGGACACCCAGAGCACGTGGCACAGGGCGGCATCCAGGCGGGTTTGGAAGATCTCCAGAGAAGGAGACTCCACAACCTCTCTGGGCAAAACAATAACAATAAACTTGTGCAGTGGAAAAAGCCATCAAAATACTTCGGAGAAAGGTTAGCCAGAACTTCCGGGGCGCCCAATGGCCGCGTAGGAAGGGCGCAGGGCGCCCAACTGCCGCAGGCGTGGGGGGGAACGAGGGGGTCGGGACGGGGGGTGGTTAGGGCGAGAGAGGGTCGCCCAACGGTCGCCCAACGGCCGCTCACGTGCAGCACGCAGGCGCTCTCCAGCAGGCACTGCCGCAGATCCTCCCTGACGCCGGCGCACGCCTGCCCGTCCACCTCCTTCTCCTCGTAGTACTTGGGCATGGGCATCGGCGCGCGGAGCGGCAGGGACGCGGCGCGCCACACGGCCGGGGCGAAGCGCTCCAAGTACCTGCGCAGGCTGCTCCGCCTGCGCCACATGGACTTCGAGTTCGCGCTCTGGCAGATGCTCTACCTGTTCACCTCCCCGCAGCGGGTCTACAGGAACTTCCACTACAGGAAGCAGACCAAGGACCAGTGGGCGAGGGACGATCCTGCCTTCTTGGTGCTGCTCAGTGTCTGGCTGTGCGGTAAGCGCCCAGCGGCAGGGAGGGAGGAAGGGACGGGTTTTCTTAGCTTTTATCAAGCAAATGTACACTCTGCCATTCCATGTGCCTTAAAAACACACCAATTTAAGATCTCTCTTGCTTTGCAGCTAGTTGTAATACATATATAATTTCTCTTTTCAGTGTCTACCATAGGATTTGGATTTGTGCTGGACATGGGGTTTTTTGAAACAATAAAGCTACTACTTTGGGTGGTGTTCATAGACTGTGTAGGCGTTGGCCTTCTGATAGCAACGTTAATGTGGTGAGTAGTAGTGCATGAAACTGAATTTAGCATTGCCATCAGGTCATCATAGTCTCGTTTGCAAGATGGTTATTTTAGTTATATTTAGAAAGTTTATGTTATGTTCAACGTTTTGTACTTTCCTTCTTTCTGAGCTGGTTGGTCAGCAGTAATACCAAATACAGTGATCAGAAAAATCATTCACTCTTTGTTTTTGTTAATAGCTTAAATAATGTAAGGTTAATAATGATAATGTTTAAGTGGGGCAACATAAAACTGGCCCTTGCTTCTGTTTCTGCTACAGTGCTTGCTACTTCTGACTGTTTCACACACATCGGCTTGTTTTGATGGCAGTAACTGCTGCCATTTATACCCATAGCACACGGAGGCGCACACTACCCTTCATGAGAAGGCCAGAAAGGAGAAAACTACTAGCCATGTAGGAGCAGCAAAACAACCTCATCTTAGGTTTTGCTTTTCCTATTCTCCAGGGTGCTGTGGTAGAGGGCTGATTTTCCCCCTTCCTTGCACATAAGTGACAGCTCTCACTTGCAGTCACATGTGCCGAAGCCAGGAGGCAAGGGCAGAAGCAGCCGTGTCCCTTCTTGTCTCTGTTTCGCGATCTCTTGAGGAAGAGGAAGCAGTGGCTGTGCAGGAGCGTGGCAGAGGGCTGCCTCCATGTGTCCGCTCTGCCTCCATCACTTTTGCCTCCACTTGGCTTATAGAGGGGAGAGACAGTGGCAGGGGAGCTCGTAGGCCAGGCCCAGCGTGTTACAGGCACCTTCCAGGTCAGAGAGGACCCACCAGATGGTAGGAGCTCACTTGCTTTTCAGACACTGCTGCAGTGGGCAAGGTTCTGCACTTCCAGCTGTTGACTTTTGTGTGTGTGTTGACTTCTGGATCCAGTTCTAAATGAGATAAACTTCCTGATAGCAGCAAGACTTTGGCTGAAGAAAACAGAAGGTCTTGAGGTTTTTGTTTCATATTTTAAAATGCAAGGCAAAGCACCTGCTTGTGTAATAAAGAGAATGGTTTCACTGGAAGAGTGTTAATTTACCTTTTTCTGCCTCAAAGGGCTTCTATTTCCATAGAAATGAAATAAAACATCTCTATAATGTGAGGCAATGTGCAAGTGCTTTCCTGAAATCACCTGGTACAGGGCTGTCAACGCTGCTTCATAATGTGTAACTGCATCCATAAACTGCAGCATTCTTCCACTTAGCTAAACAAAAAACACACACACAAAATAAAACAAAGCTGGGACTCTTTTTCTTGGGCTGCATATTTCAGGGGAGGAAAAAAAAAAGTAGTTTTAGCATGAAAGAAGTTTATCAGTGCTCTGGTCTATGTGATTCTTGCATGTCTTATTCTCTATGCTTTGCTCTGAGCTGGACTACCACGCAGCTCGCTACCTTGACCAGAGTTGCGTAAGTCAGACATTTACATCAAGGACCTTCTCCCTGTTTTTCCCTGCAGGTTCATTTCTAATAAGTACTTGGTAAAGCAGCAGAACCGAGACTATGACGTGGAGTGGGGATATGCCTTCGATGTCCACCTGAACGCTTTCTATCCACTGCTGGTCATTTTGCACTTTATCCAGCTGTTTTTCATCAATTGTGAGTAGAACAGCTGACATGCCCTCTGCTTTCCCTCATGCCTGTCCACGCTGCTGAGGGCAGTTGCCTCTTTCAGATGTCATCGTATCCGATTCTGTCATTGGGTACTTTGTTGGGAATACGCTGTGGCTCATTGCAATCGGCTACTACATCTACGTGACCTTCCTAGGATACAGCGGTAAGTAGAGGTAACACTTGTTATTACCCTGCCCTAATAGGGCAGGGGTGGCAAACATCATTTCAAGGAAGAGGGCAGGGAAGTATTTTACACTTCCTTCAGGGATTGTCACCTCTCTTTCAGCACTGCCCTTCTTGAAGAACACGGCTGTTCTTCTGTATCCCTTCGCACTGCTCATTGTGCTCTACTTGATCTCCTTAGCATTGGGCTGGAACTTCACCAAGATGCTTTGTTCTTTTTATAAATACAGAGTGAAATGAAAACAGGACTTCATGTCTCTAAGGTTTAGTTTGGTTTAATCTTAGCTGTCTTGACAAAAAAAGAAAAACAGTTAAGAACTTTTTTTTTGTAAATGGTTGTAAATTTCTCTTTATTGTAGATAATTATGTAAAAAAAAAAGCTTGAAGTGTCATTTTTTATTAAAATATTTACAACAGTAAACATGTTAGCAATTGTTTGAATACTTTTGCAGTACATTCCTAAAACCAAATTACTTGTACATGTTTGTAGCTTAAGTTTAGCCGCGACAAATCTACTTAGCATAATTCTTGCTGCAGCTCTTTTGCACGTACTGGCATAAGCTTCACAAGACAAGTTGGTTTGATTTCTTTAAAGTGACACTGGAAAGCAGTTTCCTAACAAGACTAAGAGGGGAATAGCTGGCCTCAGGACTAGGTGAACACAAGAGTAAAGCAACACTTGCCTCTACAGACAGATTTATTTTCATGTCTTTCAAATATACATGGACAAGTGTGGCACACAGAAGAAACAGTGATGAAAGGCACGATTGAAATGACCCATACCAGGTTTCAAAGATAGCAGCAAATTTTTAAACCCAATCTGGAGGCGCCTAAAGGGTATTGTTACTGCACCTGCTAGGGGGAGCAGTTCCTTGCTTAGTGCAGAGGGAAAGTACAAATCAAGTTTGGCTACACAGGCCCCTTGCAAGGCCCAGAGCTGTTGAGTCTGCAAGGCAGGAGTACAAACTGTCCATCACAAATGGTACCTTCTGAAAAATGAGGAGGGCAACTTCTAAAGCATCCTGTTCAGGCTAAAATTGGAGCGCTAGGGTTCAGTTTCAAAAACAACACAACAGTAAACCAGTTATCAAGTCTTCTTGTATCTCAATACTAGAATTTGATCGCTAAGGAAAAACTACATTTAGCTTAAAATACCAAATATGCTGGCAGTGCATCTTACAGTACTGTGTATTCAGCCACCGTTAAGGCTTGAGGAGAAGTGGGGCTCCCTCTCTGCCATTTGCCCTCAAACCTTTGAGCCACAGGAGGCTGAGAAGCCCGATCACCCCGGCATAACTGCATGAGCTCCTGGCCTGTGGGCAGCTACAGCCCAAACTGTCCAGCTTTCCTCAACAGGAATCCTAGCACCAGTGATCAGCTGCTCAAGTTAAGCAATAAAAATGCGTGGTAGGTAGCACCCTGGGGCTATCCCACTGGAATTAGTGGAGAACACGGGGCCCACGTACCTTCCGTCGAGAGATATCTGAGTTTGTCCCCTTTAAACAAGGTTTCCTCATTCTCCCAGTTAAGCTGGGTAAAAGCAGAGCCCACTGATTACAGCAGAAATCAGAAGTTAAGGGAACAGGGAGGTCAAAAAGCTCTGCTCGTGGAGACGAGTTTGTTGTGTCCAGTGGCTTTCCTGGTGTTTATGTCAGCAATCAGTGCTGTTCTGGAAACAATAATTATGTAACAGCCTTTCAGCACTAAGCTGGTGAGTGCAAAGATTATTTTATATGTTTTTTTTTTCCCCACTTACTACTGTTTGCTTTAGATTTTTCAGAATACATCTTTCCTAATAAGAGCAACTATAAGACTTAAACTTAGGTTTATCTGTTTCAGGGGAGAAGGGTTTGGAAAGATCCTCTCCTCCCCCACTCAAGAGTAATGTTTCCTGCACTAGAAGCAAACTACAAATTGCTACAATACATCATCTTGAGCAAATCTTTCCAGAAAAAAAAAAAACCCAAGATATACATTATTTCAGTTATTTGCAAAAAATGAGCAAAAAATATTGCAAAATCATCTGATCTTGACAAAGACTGAGCACACTCTAGCATATTCAAGGAATCATATTTCACATGAGCAAACAATAAATTGCTTTAAACTGAACCTAGATACAATTTAAAGTTGCCTTTGAAAGAGCTCAAAAAGCAATGATATGATGGAAGAGTCCAGTTTTTTATTGGTCTACTAGTTAACTGTTTATGACTTTTAATTTTTCTAAGCCACCTTTCACTTAAGAATAAATATATCTACTTGAGCATTTGCTACTACTGCAAATAAATCTTTGGGATGCCTGCAATATCAAAAAGCCTGAACAGTGCTTCTGAACTATTACTACTAGGAAAAGTGTTGATTTGGCCTTGCAACCTGCTCGCACTATTTACGAAGTGTTCAGCAGCCCCAGCCACTGAATGAGCAAAGCAAGATTAATTCTGTCCTGACAGTCTTAATCCTTCCCTGTTGCACAGCAATCATGATCTGCTTGGAAAAGTCAGTGCTCTAATCAAGCTCATCTGTTTGGCATCCAAAATAAGCAGTTAAAAATAATATGCCCAGAAAATGAAGGCATAGGGAAGTGCATCTGATTTCAGAGAAATCTCATATTTTCTGAAGTTTTAACATCAGAAGGAGCTGATAATATAAATTGTTTTGAAACACTTTCCATTGTTTAACTACTGTAAGTTTTATTGACCTACCAGAGATTTTAAAGGCCAAGTTAAAAATTATGTGAGATTAAATTAGGGAAAAAAAAACAGGTAATTGGTTTCAGACCGATTTCCAACTTCTGATAGTACAATGTAATAAAAATGCAATAATCTTTAGGAAAAAAAAACACATACATACTTTATCAGGCATAAGTTAATGTGCTTTTTGATAAATTTCATCTCAGTATTTGAGAAATAAACATACTGGTAATGCCACAGTACTGCAATCAGTTCGGTAAGGTTCCCATACATTTAGATTTATCATCAGTGCTACATCTTACCCAGCATCAGACTCTAGGAAGAGCAATGCTTTGGGAATAAGCACAGAGTGCTCTTAATAAGCAATAATAAACTGTTTTTGTTTCATAGCAAAAGGTGAAGGGTGGGTCAACAAGCGTACTTACATTGAGAAACTGTCAGAAACACCTAACATTATTTCTGCCATCTTAATTGTAGTAGACAGCTGTAGCTTAAATCGCCCACACCGTCCATTCAAGGCACCGCTGTGGAGAGAGTAACACGAGGTGGGCAGACTTGTGAAACCCCCTCGCTTGCGAATGCCGTGACTGAAAGCACTGCACCTCGCAGACTGCGCGGTGGCACCACAACAGGCTCCATTCACTCGGGATTTCTGAGCTTATCAACCCATGTTCCTAAATCCAAGAAGGTACTCTGGGGGCAGGACAAACTTTTTATGCAACATCTTATTCACACCAACTGGTATAACCCAAAGAAAAAGTAAACAAGCCCTGCCTGGGAGCTCATCTACTTTTTCAGCTTATACCAGTTAATCTAAATGAAAGATCTTGCCTTCATGTAGAAATCTTGTCTTCTCTTTGCCCTCAGATAACACAGCTAAAACAAAATGGCCACAGTCTTTAAAAGCAGTTAAGCTCTTAAACCTGAGCGCTGTCCTCGCTACAGCGCCACTTGCCAACAGAGCGGGGCACGAGACGAGTCAACTCCACACGCCAGTGGCAACAGCTTTTGGCAGAGCTGCAGCAGCAGCCTCTGCTTGGGCTGACACCTCATGAAAGCAGAGCGAGTCCGTTAGAAGGAAGCATCCTCATACAGGAGATACAAATCCGAGATCCCCACTCTGCAGGAAAGCCTTGCCTGCGCACAGAGCTCCGGGCGCAGAGCTGCGGGGCGCCAGGGTGCTCCTCCCTGCGTGGCAGATGCAGGCAGCAGGTTCGCAGCCAGCCGAGAGGCCCAAGCCCCGGGCAGGTGCCTCCCTCTGCGCACCTCGTGCCTCCTGCCTCCCCTCTTCCTGACCGCTTCCCATGGGGTAACTTAGATCTTCCCCTGGCCACATAAGCAGAAGGGCTGCTGAGGACAGCGGCAGTGTTAGCGCTGCAACGGTCTCCTGCGGACTTAGACCACACGCTCTCCTTTCCTGACGGGCCTTCTGACTTGCTGAACACTACCGCGGTTTCCCTTGAAGCACAAGAGGCCGAAAGCGAGGCCCAACTCGCCATTGGTGGGAATAACTATGCTGATCAATAAAAGAGCTGGACTGAAAGCTCCTTGTCCTCAAGCAACAGAATACGATAAAAATCAGCCGTAACTAATCATGGCAAGGTGTCCCAAACAAACACTGTGGAAGGAGACATTTTTAAAAGGAGAACTCTGTAGATCACATGCATCTTGTGACTAATATTTTTTGATAGAAGGTAACTCCTGTTCACTCCAAAGCAAGGCTGGGGAATGGTTTTTCAATACAGAAAATGAATTTGTCCAGGCTATGAATTGTCTACAAAGGTTTTAGAAAGAACAGTTTGCAATTGAAAATTCTCCTAAAATGCAATGGATAAAATGTAAAATCACCACAGATTTAGCACATAATATGAAATATCAAGACATTTCAACATGTTTTTCTGTGGCTACAAACTGTACATAGCGGAATTTTAGAGCCCCAAAGAATTATGTTGTTCAAAACTCTGTTAATGCCTCTGAACATCATCCAGATTCTGTGTACAAAACTACCTAATTTAGAAACTCAATCTAGTTCTTTTAAACACGGCAGTATATTTGAAATATGGTATTAATTTATGTTTGCATCTCCAAAGAAAAATGTAGAAAGATAACTTAAACTAGATAATCCATAAAAAAAACTATATCAATTTAAAATTTTACTGCATAAAAATATGTACTTTCAAATTATTTTAATAAATTAAATATCCCTAACATTTTTAATATATATCCCTGACAATCTATAAAAGAGGGTTCTTGTTATAGAAAATAAATTGAACTCCGAAAGTACCCCCTTCATAAAACGTATTTAACAATAATTATATTTTCTTCTTCAAGGAATGTAACAATATGTACAACTTCTCTATATTACTATACTATCAAAATAGTACAGGTTAAGAGTAGCAAGATTCTGCAACCGTAAGATGGTAAAGTCACCTTAAAGTGAAGGACAACTTATACCTCAGATGAACGTTGTCAGCATGAAGCATCAGTTTCTCGATGGATCGGATAAGAAGGGGTAAGTACAATCTTCTCATCTACAGTAGATTTCACAAGAGGTAGTGTTCAAGTGAAAATGAAAGAAATTTGGAATAAGGTGCATGCTCAGGATTTCCAATTTGTGACTTGTTAAGGATGTCAGATTTTAGAGGAAAAGTTTTCAAAGGTTCTTTTCCATCCAAAGCAAATGTTGCTGCTCAGTTTGTAACCTTTTTAATATGAATCTGAAATACAGAGTTAAAAAAAAAAGAGAGAGAGAAAGTCATTTTATTTTCAGTAATAGCTTCAAAAACAGTGACAAAATGAAGAAATCTCACATTTTCTGGTTTCATTTTTAAAGAGTTATAGCACCTTACCTCATTCAGAATTGCCCACACTGCTGAATTCTGTATTACTGAGAGCCGGAATGATGAAATAGGGTTTAGGCTTGGGTCAACCATTCCTTCAGCTACACCATTTTCAAATTTTCCTGTAAAAACATAGCCTCAATTAACTCCAGTTCAGCAAACTGAAATATAAAATCTGAGGTCAGAAGAAAAGCATATCTGTAGTATCACAACTCACAGATTGAACCTACTGCTGGAGATAAGGTTGACTGCTATCCATTGCTAAAGCAATACTCTTAAAATGGGCAGTGACTCTTGACACTAGATTCATCTTTGCAGGAGCAAACCCCACGGGGCACATCAGATCACACAGAGCTGACAACAGTAGTGCAGTACAGAACAAAAACTTTGGAAATTTCTTACTTATGGCTATGTCTGCTTTGAAAATCTGAGAGGATTCTGGCATGGAATTTCATGCAAGCCCAACAGCTCACACAGAGGCACCGGTGAAGCCACAGGAAGCAGACGGGATCTCGTACCACTTGGGAGGACTTCCTCAGAGAGCTAGGGGAATCTGTCCTGACAGACAAGTCAGATGTAACCGCACCATAACTAACAGTCATGACAGAACTTTGTTTAGCACATCAGCTAAAGATGTGCTAAAGAAGAATTACTACCTTAAAGAAAAAATACTGAAAGTAATATTAAGTAAAGCATAAAAGGGCATTCAGCCAAAATGAGTCAACAAAATTTCACTTTAAGTATTGCTTTGTTTGTAAGGAAAATACTTTAGGTGTTTCAATAGAAACTAAATACCTTTTTTCCTATATGTATAACAGAAAGCCACTGCTGCCCATGACATACCTATTCTGAAGTAACCATCTTCCAAGCGTTTGTCTTTGGTTTCTTTGCTTAATACCAATTCTTCACTCTAGAAAAAAACAAAACAGCGTAAATGAGATCATTCATTTTCACATGCTAACTTTCACCAGGAAAAGCCAAACATATGCACCTTCTTGTTATGACAGAGAATCCATCTATCCTAATTGATCATGAATCAGCCTGGGATAGTTATTTAGAGCTTTAGACAAACAGAAAGAAAAGCAACCGTGCTCCAGAACAGAGCTGCGTTTAGCTTCAAAGCAGAAAAAAGGAATACTTTTTGAAGTGCCCCAAGTAATTCGCATGTTAACTGCCACATGAAGAGAATATATAGCAGATACTGGCATAAATAGCAGTAGAAAAATCAAAGGCAAAGTCTTGCCTTCTTTTCCTGTGGTTGAACCAGAGATTTTCTCAGGGCAAATAAAATTTAATTCACTTTTTGATGTGAGAAACTGGGTGGGATGAAAAGTTGTTAGACCAGTGAGGGAAGCATTTCAATCATCCAGTGCCTAACTAAAAGGCAGTGATTGTAAAAAAAGGGGGATGTATATATAAGCTTATTTAAAAGGCACAGAAAAACGAAATTGGAGACCAGAGATTCAAACAGTGGCCTGAGAATTACAATCAGAATCACATGACTCAATACTGAAAGACCTACTGTGAGAATTTCTTAGGAGTCAATTAAAAATGCTTGACACACACACAAGATGAAATCCACCTTTATTTCTTCCCAGAACTTTTAAGGGAGACTGCTGGGAAGCTGGGAAGACAGAGAAGGAGGGGAAAAAAAAAAAAAAAAGGTTGCCACAGCTTTTGTGACTGAACAGATTTCCAAAGGTCTTGAGATACAAACCCCATCAGCTTTATAAGGTGTGAAAACCCAGGTGTTGCACTGCATAAGTAGAATCAAACTGACAAACCTGGGGGGAGGTAGCAGGGGGAAAGGTTCAGAAATTCCTGTATTTGCTACTTGGACGGTAGACTACAAGAATGGAAAAGCAAACCTGCCCATGACCACTTAAGAGATTCAGTAAGGTGATTTAGTCACAAATTTCAAGATATCTGTATCAGATGTATGGGAGAAGACAGAAATAACTTACTACTTTAATACTAAATAAAATAAATTTGTCTGAAGTAGCATCTTAATCCTCACACATAGTTTTGTGATACAAATGGTTAGGTGTAATATCTATCTGAAGAAAAAGAATCTACGTCTCCTGGCTGCAGGCAAGAATATACCTGAGCCAGTTTAACACCGTCCGGAGATAAAATTCAGACTGGCTTATAGGAGGAAAAAAAAAAAAGTCATTAAGAGAAAGGAATGAGAAAGGAATAGATGCAGTTGGAGAATTTAGGTATGTAAACATTTGGTGGTAGGGTTTAGATGTGTGACAGTTCCTGAACCAAGACATTTACCAAGTCCAATAGGAGATTTACTTAGCTTTATCATGTTCCAAAATAACATGAGGGAGAGGAGAGGATTGTGCGTTTGTTTGTTTTGTTTTAAATAATAACAATGAGGAGGAAGAAGAGCTGAATGTTTGTTCACCTCCGAACTGCCAGCAACTCTTACAGCAGACTGCACTCTCAAGGAAAATGTTTTCTCAAAATAGGTCCCCCCCCTCAGAAAATGGCATCAAAATTTTACAGTTTAAAAAAATGTGATCACATCTCCCTCATCATATTTTTTTTTAATTGTTAAAATTGGGAGGTTTTGGTTTTATCTTCCAGTGAAGCACAGAAAAGTCAATGCATACCTGAAAAGGCAAGACTTCCACAGTTGTGTTTAGAAGTATGTCTCCCGGGTGCTCTGGATTGCCACTGCGAAACAAGTATCTGCAAATGAAAAGGAACAAGTGGTCTGTATACATCAGGCAGAACTAGCTCATTCGCCACCTTATGTGTTTATAATCCCATGATGCAGATGTTGCAATGGCAAGTATAACTTTTACACTGGACATCAGCTGATGAGAAAAAAAAAAAGTTGGTTTCACACACTAATGTAATTGAAAGGGCTACTTTAAAGTTTGGGGTTTTTCAGGGAACGTCTGGACAATGTTTTACCATGCTCGGGTGCATTAGGTGACGCGACCAGCGCTGCAGCTTCACAGTCACTGCCGCCCGGCGCGTGCTGCAGTCGCAGCCGCCCTGCGGACACAGCCTGGCCAGTGCGGGGAAGTTTCCCGAGGCAGCGTTTGTGCTGGGCTGGCTTTCCTCAGCCCAGCTCTCCACATAGCCTAACAGTGCCAAATTCCATCTCCTACTCAAACAACTATTTTGCTTAGTTGTTTGTTTACAAAAGCACATATATTTTCTTGACACGTATACAGAGTGAGACCATGGTTTTATACCTGTAAAACGTTCTTGTTGCTCTCAAGTACATGTTTAATAAACCTGCACTGTTTAAACATAGCAGAACAAGTGTGGCTTCAAACTGTACCAAAACCATCCACGCACATAGCAAGCAATGAACTACAAATCTTAAAGTAACTACCTATCTCAGCTTTTGCAGTACTGTAACTCATAGTCAGTCACAAAAAATAACTGTAGAATCTCCCGTTCTTCCTAAGAAACACAAACTTGGTATTCCTTGGATAGTGAATAGACAGGCACGCTGTCAAGTGGCAGTATCTCTTTACCACTAGGTGGTATCAATGCTTGAAAATGTGTCCTTTTTTATTATTTGTTCTAGGAGAATCACAGACGGGTTTATTTAGATTGCTGTCTGGAAACGACAGCACTTTACACTTGTAAATTACCCCTACTCAGATGTCACTTTTAACACTCTCATTTTACTTTTAATATGTTTAACTGAATATGTAAAAATCTATCAACACATTGCATACCTCTGCTCAAGAGGAGCCTGGAGCAGCAGGCACTGTCTTCCACACTAAATACATCACCAGCCAGGGGCAAAATTAGTTCAGGAATTTCCACTTGATTAAAATTACAAAAAAAATAGCTCAATTTGCAATTTATTAAGACATATTTGGAGATTACTTTCCAGTTTGCCTTTACCCAATACATCTGAATCTGGGTAAGTATATGCCATTAATCCACCATATCTTATATGTATCTAACAAGACAAGAAGCCCAAGAAAAGAAGAACATTCCTGCCCCAACTTAAAAACCTCACTGGCCCTAAAATCACAGGAATAAAAGCACCTACTCGGACATAGGAAAGCTGCAGTGATTTCAGTTGCTCCAGTTTCAGTAGGACTGCATAAATTGGGAGGTAAAACAAGACTGGATTCAGTAGCTTCAGTGCGGTATGCACTCACAGGAAGAAAAAAAAAAGTTTTTCCATAGTAGTTTAATATAATGGTTAGTTGATCCATGCCTGCTAAACCATGTCCTTAGGTGCCTCATGTACAATTTAAAATTAAGTTTATAGTGGAAGGGATATTTTTATATAGAAGCCTTGCCTGAACACTTGACAGAAAACACCAACTAAGACAGCAAAAGTTATACAGAGTTTAAAAATAGAAGTATGAACGTGCATTCACAGTCAGTCATATTTATAAGCAACCTTTTGCTTACAAATCAAAACTTCAAATAAATGGATTTCCTACAGTTCCTCAAAGAAATGCCATTTGGCTGTTCTGTGTAAAGCTCACCTCCGTGACGTGTTGATAAATCACAAACTTGCCAGGTTTTCAGGCTATGAAAGATGTTCCGGGGAATAGAAACTGAATGACATAGGGGTAGCGGAGCCTTTGGCTCACAAGTTACTCTGACAGCCGTCCTGGGATTTATGGATGACAGTCCATATAAACAGTAAAAATGCCTTTTTTTTTTTTTTCTTCCCTGTTTGGCTCACATTTTTCTCAGGGTCAAATCACTAGATATTGCCCTCTTGTCCTTTCAACCTAATCCTTCTGAACGATTCTTTCAAGTTAAAATCCTGAAAGCCGCAGACCTCCACATGTAACAACGCAACAAAAAAGACAAACAAAAAAGCACCCAAAGTTACAAAATACTATTACCTCTTTGTGTATTGCTTCGTCTTTTTTATTACAAAACACAAACAGGCGCATGTGCTGAAGAAAGGCATCAGAGAAAAGTAACTGGGAGACTCGTGTGTATGAACCCTGAGAGAGCCCTTCCTCTGGCAGCCTCTTGTTAAAGCAGCTCAGGCCCCAGGTGATCCCTGGCTACAGGAGCCTTTCAGAAATGGAAGGAGGAAGCGTCACTTGTAGTAATAAACTCCAGGCACCACGAGCTTGCCAAGGCGGGGAGCTATTGCGGACACTTGAAAAGGCAAAATTCCAATTCAGAACTGCTTAGAAACATTCTCCTCTTTGCAGAGCTCCCAGGTTTTTTTTATAACAAAACGATGCATATAAACCCCTATCAAGACTACTGCACACTGGGAGCTTTAATATTCTTGTTTTATTGAAAAGCTATTTTTTTCCATCTGTCAATACTAATTTATCACATATACTTTGGGCAAAAATTCAACACAAATGGCAACTATGCAGACCTCTTTATCCTTCTCTGATTTTGCCCGGGAGGCCATCTTATAAAACTTCCTTCTTCCTCATTAAAGCATCCTTAGGGACAGAGAATCTTATTTCCACTGATTTGTTGTCTTTTAGCTACAAGTTGTCTTATCGTATTTTATATTTTATATAAACAAATACAGCAGTGGCATTGATTCTTGTTCTTTACATAGAAAGTGAAGTGTGATTCTATGCATCTTCTATACTACTGAGCAGCCAAAATGATGGGATTAAAACAAAACACAAGAACTTCAGTAAATTCTGGCAGCTTTATAAAAGGAAATACTACATAAAAATTCTGGAAAAAAAAGCACAATTCCCTATCAACATGTTTGTTTTTGTCTTGAAGGAAATAGGAGGCTTATCTCACTCAAAGATAAGCACAAATATTCTAAGAATCTATTTATGAGCACAGACCTTTTCCTACGTAAACATCAGGAATGAAATCTTTCACTTTCTATAACTAAAAGGAGTTGTAAGGAGGTTATCAGATATATTTTATTATTTCTGATTTTCTAGAAAGGAAAAAAAAGATAGGAAGACAGAAAGGAAATATTTTCTTTCACATTTGAGCAAAGCATCAGCCAACAATCTACAGCAAAACAGATTTTTTAACTTTGCACCAAGGGACTGTATAGAAAGGCAGAATTCAGTCAGCAAATTTATGTCTCTGCAGATGCTGCAACCAATTGCGAGAGTTATTATTCATTGCCTCCATCCAGTAATTTTGATCATTGGAAACAATGTGGTAAAAGGAACCAAATCTACCTCCTCTCCATTGTTTTCCCAGAATCCTCATTAGAAAATATCGCCCTAGTGTAACAGGAAACAGATACTGACCACACATATTTTCTAAGCTTTCATGTGGTAAAATACAAATGGAAGATGAATAACTTCCTTTCCTTTTCTCCAGCTCAATTTCTTTTCCTAATCTTTATACCTCTGATCCACTCCTTTCTGCAAATTGCTCATACTTACCAAGAAAAGTTTAGTTCTTAAATCCTCTATATATCAAGTACTCATAGAAAGTAAGCAATCTAACGAGAGCTTTTCTATGTTGTTATCACTAAGTTACTGTTTTGAAAATACTTTAAAAAGGAACTTTTGCCCCATTAAGTTTTATGCCAAATGCCTGGTAAGATTTTATTTTCTCTGCTAAAACCAACCAGTCTAAGCATTCAGATTCAAACTGAGCAGTATTGTTTCGATTTTGGAGGGCATTGGGTTCTTTTGGGGGAGAGGTTGTTTTTCCCTCACTCAAATTCTTTGCTGTGACCTTCTATGAATTTTATTATTTTTTCGAGCTGGCTGATATTAATTAGATGACCTTTATGCTCTTCTGCAAGATTAAATCTGTTCAATTTTTAGTCCCCTGAAATGGGGAGAGTTTCCTTACATTTCAGTTTGATTTCCTCAGCAGCGCAGACACCAAGGGCTCCATTCCCCCATTTCAAGTGTAGGCCCCTCCTGTCGTTTGAGGTGCCATGGGCATGAGAGGCCTCCTCACAAGGCTGGCAGATGTCATTCAGACATGTATCAGAGACTCATGCCCTTCAGGAAGCAGCTGAAGTATGCTGGGCTGCCTCCAGTGGCGTTGCCATAACCTCACATTAAGGCGGCTGCATTAAGCCTCCGGTGTTTCTGATTACTAACTATAAGCCCAGGAACGCTGCCAAATACATAAATCTGGAATATTAGGGCCCTTAAGGAGGGAGCAGTATGTCCCTGGCTGAAGTAGCTCTTCTCTTCTGTCACGCTTTTCTTCTTGCTTTTCCCATGAAGAAGCTCCACGTGTGGAGCAAAGAGCTGCAGCGGTTGGGAGAGCGGCCACCACAGCCCCTGCGAGGGAAGCCGTGCCAGCCTGTTCTGGTCCTCACTGTGGGAGCCTGGGCAAACGCAGAAGGCAAAGGCCTCTGATTCTCTCTTTCTGTGTGCACACTGCAAACGCTAACCCACCTGAAATGCACTAACACCAAAACCATTTAAAATAAGGAATTACAGCCTTTCAAGTATTTTCTATTAATGGAAGCCACCACTTTAGCCTAATAAAATACAGATATTGTTAGACTTCAACAGCTTATAGTATAATTATATACTTAGGAATCAGAGCAAAAATTATTTGCAGTTAGTAGTCTGTATGTGTGTGCACATGTGTGAAGTCAAAACTCTCCAAGAGAGTTGGAAGGTACTGCGGGGTGTTAGCGGAGCGTTTCTACACCACACAGTGAGTCTGAACTCAGACCATCTCGGAGGCCAGTCAAATTACCCTGTAACGGTACAAAAAATTAAAGATGCTCCCGAGGATTTAAGTGGTTCTTACTGCAAGAGAGAGCAATGAGAAAGCTCTGCTTCATCGCAGGCTTTAGAAAGCTGTTAAAATCTCACTTCTTCTCGGTAATGGATTGGACTCGGTGGCCCACAGGAGGACTTGCATCCAATAAGAAGGGTATTTACCCACATTTTAGAAACATACATAGATGATACATATTTTAAATGACTGGCTATTCAACTCTATATATAAAAAAAAAAAACTTCCTTTTAAATTTCACAGCTAGGCAAGGTGTTTTAAAAGGTAGGTATACTTCCCTTTGCACTGAAAAGGCAGGAATAGCGGAGAAGCAACCCTCACCGTCTATGCAGGTAATTTGCAACACTGTCACAGACAAGTTACAATTGTAGCACACTGCAATACAGAAAAGGTAAGGTGTATGTTTAGCTACCAGGAATAAGGCACTCTTCACACTCAATACATTGCATTTCTAGTTTAAATAGTCAAATAAATAGACGTTTCTTGCATGAGTGGAAATTCTATATTATGTGAGGATGCCACAGGAAAAATATGCAAAGTTGACATTACACCTCTCCTGGGATTCCAGTGTCAAAAACATGGAACATTAGGTAATTAGTGGAGGATATTGCACATCAATCAGGGTTGCCAGTATCAGAACAGAGAGGTAAATGTAATCCACTTGTTCATTTGCCAAAATATTAAAAGATTTCATTTTAAAGCAGAAATTCTGGGAAGTAAGTACTAGCTGACAAAATCACTTTATGAAGAATCAGTGGCACGTTGGGATGAGCACCTAATAGTGTGTCCAAAACAAGAGCACAACTTGAGACGACTGATTTAAAGACAGTACTATGGGAAAAAAGGAACAAACAGAAACAACAAAGTCTAGAGATCCTTTTGAAGATATTCAAAGTAGCACTCCCAAGCAGCTGCATACAAGAAAGGATGAGTCTTATTTTCTTTACATATAAACCTGCTTAATTGTTAAAGTGAAGGTGGGTTATTTCCTTCACTTTAACAATAAAATATATCCTTGGCATTTTCCACATTCCTTTATTAAAAAAAAAAAAAAAAAAGAGCAGCATTTGGAAGCTGCTTGTATGGAAAGCAAAACCAAAACTCGTTTACTTTCATGAACATTTATTCGAAATTCCTAGAAATTCCTAGAAAAAAAAAAAAGCTGACAAATTTAAAATAATCAGATCAAAATGGCCATAGTTTGTGCGGTTCCAAGGGCTCCCTTGGTGTTAATTACTGCTTTCAAGGAAGATCCGCATTATCCAATTTGTGCCAGTCAAGCCTACATGGCAGCTCTGAAACTTAGGCAGTCCCAAAAGAGATGGTTATGAGTGTGTTGGGCAGCAGCATCGTTTAGGAGGAGCTGCAAGGGAGCGTCTCTGTGTGACAAATCACTGCCCAAGCAGAGCCAACCAGAAAGCACCAAACAAAGACTGTCCGAAGTCAGTCTTTAAATGAGCTGCTTGGGTGCATCACTAATAGCTCTGAAGGAAAAGGGTCACTAATAAAGAAAGGAGACATCTTGAATCTCTTATCTGCAGCTTTGAAAATAAATTTATATTATGCACTAACATTACTGTGATAATGCAAAGTTTATAAAATAACTCTTAAATATGACTGTCAGTTATGTATGCTTGGGATAACAGGGTATATATCAAAATAGCAAAGTGGACTTCAATAATCCTTTAACAGTTTAAAGCATAAGAAATGTCCTGAATTTCTGTTTTTTAAAATGTGGAATTTTGAGCATTCAGAGAAAAGTCCACACATTTACTAAAATACAAAACAAAACAAAAATACCAAAATCTCACACAATGAACTAGTGTGCAATTTGTTCTTAAGAAGAAAGTCAGTGAAACCTTTCTCCTTCTCAAGGATACTCTACTTAAAGACAGAGGCATCTTCCTATTATGGCAAGAATGGAAACACGGAAACAGCTTCCTGGATGGGAACAGCAGTATTCTGGTTGAAGAACTTAGTAGGGGAAGCTAAAAACATGGAGTACAAGAGCTGTTACTAAAACAGAGAGCTTCAAATGACACCAGTTTACGCACACCTCTTTACCAAGCAGAATTTAGAACAAGCAGCATCTGTCTAGCTGTTGAATGTTCAGGGAATTTGTTAACTTGGTCTTTCACAAAATAGCCACAAATGTTACTTTCTGTTCATTTAAAGCGAGATCTGCTCCCTTGCGATCATAAGGGATTATTAAGAAATCCTTGCCAGTGTTACCCCAACAATTGTCCCAGCTCTCAAAAATGAAATATTTAAAGATTTACAGAAAATTTCCTGGAATTGCTGCTTCCAGAAAAAATGTAAATGCAGTTCAGCAAGAAGTTTGGCAGGCAAGAATAAACTATAGGAAAAAGTTAGTGTTCTGTCACACTGTAACAGACTCACCATTCATTCTGTTAGACCTGTGGTCAATATTTCCATTAAAAAGCTTGTTTATCAAGAATTTATTACTGGAGCTATTAAGCAGCTACACCTCAAAATGCCTTGACAGACAAAATTTTGTGCAAGTTCAAGGAGCTTTTCTATCGGTTTAAAATGAAAAAAAGAAAAGGGGAAAAAAAAACAAAACCTGCTCCGTGTCCCTTCACAAACACCTGATAGCTTTCAGAAGGACTTTTTTTCTGCTCTTTATCTCACAGACATATCTCCCACAACCAGTTATCTCTCCTAATCAGATGACGTTGTCTGACATTCAGACTGTTGCCCCTTTTCATCCCACTTTCTTTCATCCCACTTCTCCCAGTTCGATTTCCGACTGCCTCAGCAAGGACCCTTGAGGGACAGGACCTGCAGCCCTAATCATGCACAGTCTTCAGAAAAGTAAAATAATGCACTTTTGAGGACCCTGTGGCAATAGAAGCTCAAGTCATAATAAATATTGAAAGAACCAGTAATGAGAGATCGAACAAGGTTAAGAATTTTAAATGTGAATAGGTAATTTCTGTTTGCTGGACTTCCTTTAAGGAAGGCAAGAGAGTATCAAATGTTAAGTTTCTTCTAAAACTAAAGCGACTTTCTTCAGTAAGTAGAAACAAGTAAAATTGCATAATCCTCAACTACTGGAACGGATCTTAACACAGCAGGTAGGCACAACCTCCTTAGGTGCAGCAACAATTTTACAGAGTATCACAATGAACACACTCTTCCCATTTTTTTTTTCTTCCAGATAATTATTACTTATTCTTTCTCCCAATTCTCTCATCATTGAGGTGACGGACATCAATAACTCCTTTCAGACCTACACATGCTGGTCTTTTGAACCACAGTGCTCAATTACAACACTTGTTAGCAATGCTTTCCAAAGCTGCCAGGGGAGTGTGAGTTTGATTTGTCCTAATGAAACAACACTTTGCCCAAAATCAACAGTTGCTTGTTACAATTACTCTATTCATAACCTAAAGATGCGTATACTACTTGAGAGAAAAAATAAAGTAAAAATAAATACAAATGGGACAATGTTCATTTCATAACTTTGAAATTTGATAGAAAAATCAATGAATTCCTACATTTGAATTGAAAGCACCCATTTATTGTATTGCTGGCAGAGAATAAAAAGATTCTGCTTTTAATTTGATGAGGTGTAGCAAACATGCTCCTTAACACACATTTCTTGGAAAGCCAACCAGAAAACTCTGTTTTAAAGCATAACAATCAACTCAAAGAGCAATTTGAAATCTTGCCTAACAAACTGTGTTTCATAGATCAGACTAGTTTTGGAACATAGTAACAAGGAAACTACTGATCCTCCCTGCTGTGCCCAGCCAAGGTGGAGACTTAGTCTTTGATTAGGTACCAAGACATGGAAGAAGTTGACTAACTGGATCCAGTTCAAGACTGTAAAAAGAGCTGCATATGCAGTCCAATTATCCAAGGAAATTTAACTCTACCAGGCTGTAGGCACTGGCCTCAAAAGAGTACAGAAGGTACATGAAGAAAGGAGAAAGGAATCCACTAAGATAGCAACTGCAAAGGGGCAATAAATAAAGGATTTGTTTTAGTCTTGGACTAGCTCAACACAAGGAAAAGCTAAGAAGCAAACAAGTCTCAGTACAGCTACAGGAAAACTCAAACTCCAAAGCAAAAACTCCATTATCCTTATTTAATTGGACTAGTAACTAAAAAAAGACACCTTTAGTCCTCCAACAAACTGATATTTGTGTTCTAAACTCTACCTTTTGTTGTTGCTGATTTTAAGTAGGTCTACCTGGAGTATTATCACTGTCACATTTTTCCAAGCCCTCAGGCTGCACTTAAGCCACACTGCTCAAGGTTTGCTGCTCTCAGGTCTGGGAACACTGCAATATGCTCCAGAAAAGCCTCTGGTCTGGACAAGCAGGGGATCAAGGCTGCAGGGCACAACATGCTGTACCATCCACCACGCTGCATAACTGCTCTGTAATTAGAAGCAGGCCAATGAAGCTGAGAATCAGACTGCCTGCTTTTGAATTCTAGTAAGAATTAAGAATTGCCAGAGAAGCACAGGTTTCGAATTGCATTTGTCAAAAAAGTTCCAGATTAAAAAAATACAATAAAATAAAAAAATAAAACGAACAAAAAAGAGAACAGGACAAGATAAATAAAATGTAAAGCAGTAAAACAATTAGAGGGAAAGCCACTGATGAACACAGTTTAAGATGAACAGCAAAGACCCATTTCTATATGTAAGCTTTTTGTTCTACTTTAGCTTAATCACAGCAGCCCCCAATTCTATTTGGAAGAATTCTGGGAGAGCAACTGGCTTTAGAGATGAGACCAAAGGTAAATAATTGATTACTAACCTTTCTACATTGACTGGCTTGTCAAATTTAAACAGAATATAGTCCCCAGCAACTGGTGTGACAGCCCAGAAAAAATCTTCCCCTACGTATGTCTTTTCTAGCGTATGCCCTTGGTAGACCTTTAAAGACGTGGAAACCTCCGCAGGTGGATTCACGTGGATTTTATGCAGTAACGGTTTCAGGAAGTCTTTATCCTAGTTGAAAGACAGAAAAACATCAGACTGAGTGGGCAATCCATTATGTCTTCTCCTAAGTGGCTACACTCAAAACAAATACTTGGAAAAAAAGAGAAAATGAATGTATTTCTCATTGTTAGATATATCAGAACTTGTGTTGAATAATAAGATTATCATGCCATTAAAGGCAGAGAGTTAGGAAAAAAAAAAAACACCACTAACATATATGCAAAAAAAAATTAGTAACCAGTTTAAATCAGATTATAATCTAACTAGAGCTATACATGATATTCTTGAAAATGCTTCACAACAAGAAAAGGTTTGTTTTCTCAAGCGCTAACAAGTTTTTTCATCAAATTAGCCTGCTGCAGAAAGAAAGGAAAATTTTAGCTACTAACCGTGAGTTTCTGGATCTTCCCTGCTAGAGAGGAGTGAAGGCCAACATGCTGGAAAAGAGAAGGCCTGAAGCGTATCCGCAGGTTAGACTTCTGTCGATCACAATGTTTCTGAAGCAAGTGAAAAAAAATTATGTTAGTAATCCAACAAACAGTTGCTGAGATTTAATAACAGTATGTCAATGATCCAGAAACAAGAACCTGGACCTATTTACCCAGTTTTTATCTTCTTAGAAATCTAGCACTATCTCTGTGCCCATAAAAATTATTCAATAAAGAAGAAATAAACATCTCTCTCTCATGGCTAAAAGGCTGAAGAACGCTACCTGAAAGGCACTACCTGAGGAATGAAGAACCAAAGTTTATTCCCCCTGGGAACCTTCTCTATGACGGTTATTCCAAGCTTTAGTACTCTGCACTGTCTCAGAGGAAAGGCATGAAAATGACATTACTCCAGGACTGACAGGTACAGAAACTAACTGGATTTTTGCTTTTCCCAACTATCACCTCTGTCTCCCAGATCTGGAGAGACAGAGGCATTATAGTTGTTGTTATTAAGAACTTTGTCTCCAAAGCTTTGCTTGACATTAAAATTTCAGTGAGAAGCAAGACTGGCATACACAGAAACCATGAAACATAATATACTAGCTTCCAACTCATAAATAATAGTTCATTAAAACAAAACCATTTTAGAAGCTTCATAATAAAAATAAACTTACGGCATCTTTCTCTGGATTACAGACTTTCACCCAGAGGATATGGTCCAGTAGCCAATCAATTGGTTTCTCCTTATAAAACATAAATATGAACTCTACAATAAGAGTGATATCTGGAGACTGGAACATTTTACCTATGATGACATTAAGAATAACTATCATTATTTTAGATTAGAGGTAACACTGCCTTCTGAAATCAGTGAGAGAAGAGATGGTGTTTTTGTGACAAGACAAGATATGCTAGCAATGAACAATTTGAACTCTTGGACATTATTAAAATGTTCATATCATCCAGCTATGCAAAAATAATTAAAATGGACACCTATTCAAATGAGAACTCTGAATAATGGTAGCAGGGTATATGGCAATGTAAAATACAATGCAGCTTCCCTAAAAGGAAAAATTTACTCTTTTTTCCTGGTTTAAGTTATCCTAATTTTGTCTAAAACAGAAAGAGGATACTAGCAAATAGAAACTTACTTCCACATAGCAAACCTACATAAGCCCCGAAGGACTTTTCTCTAGGTCTAGATCTTCATGCTACTGTAAGCTACTCAGTCCTCCCCCTGCTCAGGGAAGAATCTAGGCAGTATGGTGACATTGTAAGATGCCAGAAAACACACACACGCACACAAAGCCAAAGCAGACACAAGCCCAGCTGCAAAAAAACCCAACACCCTAGGTAAGCACAGGCTGTGGGTACTTGCATGAGCTCCTTCAGGCTCCACCAACTCCGCTACATTATGCTACCAGACCCCAGGGAGGTTCATCAGTGTAGGCAAAGCCCCTCTCTAATTCGGGATGAGTGCTGGAGGGAGAACTAACAGGTGACATTATAAACATCCTGCTCCTCAAGCCTCCCTCCAGCACTATGACCCCTCAGCCAGGGCAGCCGTATCTGCACTACCGGCTGAAGTGCTGCCACCCCCTCAGCACCCAGCTTGGCACGGCCTTCACTCTGGAGCAGCCTCCCCCGAAGGGTCCCTCTGTCACTCCTCTCCCAGCAGAGCACAGCACAGCCTTGGGACGTCTCGCACAGAACCTCCTTCCCCACCAGCTCCTGCGCTGCAGAGCTGCTGCCCCGGCCTCCAAGCCTGCTGAGGCTGGCAACCCCTCATTGAGGGGCTTGCTAGCGATGGGGCTGGCAGCAACTCGGCTTTCCTGGGCCTCAGCCCGGCCGGAGGCCAACGAGCAGGCCAGGCCACACTGTCCCACCACTCTCTGGCAGCTGCAGCAGACAGAAAAATCAGGGAGACTGTAAGATACCTTCAAAATCTCCCCAGTACGCAGAAAAAAAAAAAATCAAGCCAAAGAGACTTAAGCAAACGCTGCCTCAAACAGAAGACAGTGAGAAACCTGAGGCAATGGCTTGTCCTGCACCATGTTCACACACATGGCACAGTGTGTGAAAACAGACACACTGAGAGGGTAGTACCGGCAAAATTTTAGTGTTTCAGGTGCTGTGCACACTCACAACCTAGACTTGGGAAAAAATTTCAAAATACAAACCAGTAAGACTTAAACATAACACCATGTTCTGTAAAACCAGAGGGATTTATAAAACGAGGAAGATTTTCTCCATATTATTGTTTTATTTATACAGAAAAAAAGTGAGGGTCAGGATTGAGAAATATACATATTAAATATATATTTTAAAAATCTGCTATTTATTGCATCTTGCCAAGATTTCAATCTGATTTTCAGTCCATATAAATGCTATCATTAGTGAACTCATTAATTTGATCTCACAGTATTTTGCTGTACAAACATGCAAGCACAACATGCATACAAAAACTTTGTTTTCTATTGTTCTCTGCACTGCAGAGCTCTAGATCATTCCTTTAGTCTTCTGCAAAAGCAGGATGTTAGCTATACTCACAGCATGTACTAACAATAACTCTATTGCAAGTTAGGACAGCAAGAGCCTGTCCTAACTGTAGTTGAAGCCGTTAAGTGTTTTACCTGTTTATGACAAGCAATTTGCTAACATTAAATGCAGAATCTCATTAGAGCTTAGTCTCACATACATGCCTTGATCTATTTATTCTTCCTCAACTCCAACTATGTAGACAATTTGAGCAATACCAAAATCTGAATAACTCACTAATACCAGAGCAACAGTAGTTAAGACATGGAGGCACAGTAAGATTCAGGGGAACTATGTAAGAGGTAGGAGGCTGATTTCAGATCCCTCCATTCAAAGTCTGCACACTAACTGTGTGCTCTGGAAAACATTTCAGTTCCCAGGCAGTTGGAAGACAGGTTGGTATTTCTCATAAAAGCCACTAGGACTTTCCTGTGTCATTATGCCAGGGACAGTAGCGCACATCGGAATCCAGAGGAGAGAGACAAGCTTCTCCTTCCCCAGAGCTCCTTAGGGAACGAGCCTCCGTCTCACCCATTATTTATTAGCTACTTGACAGCACTTAGGGCTGCGCTTACAGCATCAAAAAGCTAAAGAAAGCAACTTCTGCTCTATGGTAGAGGTGACAGAATCCTGTAATCCTGCTGTCAGCCTGAACACTTCATTAAACAACTCTGTTTGCCACCTCTTCATCTAATACTTTTTCCACCTATAAAGCCCATAGATTATACCTATGCCCAAATTAGGCTTTCAGCTCACAAATGAACAGCTCAAAGACACACATATTTTTTTCTTAGCAGAACTTGCAAGTTGATCAAGGTTTCCAAAAGCTTGCAGCAAATCAAGCACACCCCTCTCTACTGCAGTGGTTATTTCTAAATCACTAGCGCCTAGGCAATTCCATGCTCTACTTTGTCTTAGACACACAAATCTCATGCAAAGATACGAATAACAACTTCTGCTGTTCTCCATATCTCTTCACGATACCAAATTATCATTGCATGAGCCTGCATCAAATCCCACAAAGCGGTAGTAGAGACAAGACAATTCTGCATCAGGAAAAACGTGCATAAAGTTTCTGTGCACTATATGGTTACAACACACCTATGTGTCTCCAAGGTAGAGGTATTAGTCATTTCCACAAATGCTAATTTTTCTCTCAAAACTTAAAACCAGAGTAAGCAGCTAAATTGAGAGAATTGAATTTCAGATTTTCTGGTAGAAAAGCAACAGTAAGATGTGCAGCCACAGTGAAACCCATACAAAAGTCTACTGAAGATAGCACTCAATTAAAAGGAAGCCAGCAAGTGTGATGTAATGCACAGGGAAGCAACCAGAAGGATGTAATAACTAAATCTAGTTACAGTTGTTTTCAGAACCTATCCTGAGAAGAGCCAGTAAAAAAACATTTAAAATATTTTTAATATTTTTAATCACAATTAAGCCAAATCTTAGTAAGAAAAAAAATGATCCAGTTACCCCCTTTTAGCTTACACACTGTTCCCTGTAAAGCAACACTGGGAACGTGAAAGGCGAGATACACATAAATTATTGGAAGTATATTTCCATGGAGGAGACTTCCTAACCTGTACCTCCTCGACTTCCTAAACTGTAAATTGATTTCATGCCCATTTTTATGCCTATTTTGACATCTTAGTCTTACAAAACTGCAATTTGCAAATGAATACGCTCTACTACTCCATCTGTACCGTGCTAATTAAGTACAAGCAAAATGAATGTAAATTATTTCTATAGCCCAGGAACTTCACAGAGAGTCTATTCTCAAAGAGCAATTAGTACCAGAGCTAAAACTCGAGCCTCAACTAAGTCCACAATTAAAGTTTAAGTGTTCAAAAGCCGAAATGACATTTAATCAGATTCTAGTATTCAATCTCACTCCCCAACCACATAATCACAGAGATCTAAGAGTTGGCAGTGGGTCTCCCAAAGAGACAAATCTATTTAAGGCAAAACTTGCAGTAATTTAATGATTTAAATGCTTATGGCTCCATTATAGAAGGCTCCTTTTCCTCTTTCTTCCTTCCACCTCAAGCCATAAAGCTAATCTGATACTATAGCTGAAATAGTAATTCTGCTAGTAGCCCAAGGCAAGCAAGCAAGATGATTATGTGGCAGCCAGTGAGGGGGTTAGAGTTCACTCTGCCCAGCTCCTCTTGTCCATCTCTCCATCATCTGTGCAGGCCACACTGACAGCTAAATGTACAAAATTACCATTCTCCCCCTGATGCAGTATGAGTGGAAGTGGTTGCTGGTTCCCCTTCAACTCAGGGAATGTGCGAGAGCCCCCAAGTCAGGGAACTAGCCCTTCAGCAGCACACCTGACCTTGAGCTGGGAACGGGGGAGCGTCGGCCCTTCACACAAGTGCCAAGGGCTCAGTTCAGCAATCTAGATGTGTATCCATTGTTTGCTAAGATGATGGATCACAGAACTAAAATTAAACCCTTCTCTGGAAAAGTAGATCAAAATTAAAAATAAGAGAACAACAAGAATTTCCAAGATAATGACGGGACTCTGTTACATGTCAGAGTCTTCCTCCTCTGAGCTCAACTTCCAACCTTTGCTTTGGAATCATTTGTGCTGACTAAATACAGGAAAACTCCACAGTCTGGCTCCATTTTCAATTTTTCATTACACATCTCCAGCTTAGTGCTTTTAATTAGGCCATGACAGGCAACTGCAGTAACGAAACCGGCTTTCAATTTGTCAGGTTTCCCTTTCAAACTTCCCTTTCTTTGCTCTTCTTTTAGTTTAGGACCTCTCTGTAAAAACATACCAGTGCAAGAGAGAACAAATAAACCATACATTATTTTCGTGTCAGTCCCATCATTGTAAATGACAGACAGACTTGAGCAGTCTCCAAGAAGCTGCAGACTACCATGATGGAGTAGAATGGTGAACATAGAACAGTTTTGCTAACAAGATAAATTAATGTCTTCTGACTCTGTCAAGCTCTGGTTCAAATGCCAACAAGCTTGTTTTAGGCTGAGTTAGGTTTTGCGATTCCTCCTTTTACTCCACACACTGAGTCATGTTTAAATGACATTTTAGTTTTAATTATAGCTAAATTCAAACTAAATCATTCTTTGCAATTTGATTATTAATATTTTTAAAAACAAATTAACTTCTGCTTAAAAAATGCCCCAGTTTCCAACAGTTTGCATTCATCAATCATAAACAAAATGCCAAAACAATATTAAAAAAAAAAAGCGTTAAAACCACAAAACCCCTCAGAGAACCATTGAATTCCTATTCCTTGGTCTATTTCCAGTAGAAAGAATATAGCTTTTGAAAGAATATAGCTTTTGAGGTCAGATCACTATTAATCAGAGATTCTGAAGATAAATGCATTTTTTAAGTGCCAAAATGTGCATCTTCTTACCAATGAAACCCAGCTGAGAAAATTCCAGAATCATCCAATCTTCAGAAGCAAGCTGAAGCGCAAAATTTTTTATTGTGCTGAAATAATTCTGCTTGACAACAATGTCATCTTCAAGCTAGAGGAAGGTAGCAGGGATATCAACATAAATCAAAAACAGTAAAGCAATAGGGAAAGTACAGCTAGGAAAAAAAAGATTTATAATATACTGCTAATACATTCCCTATGTTCCTAATATAAGCAGTGCTATAAAATCTAGATAATGTAAATAAAAACAACTAGTATTGAAGCAAGGATCACCATTTATTTGTAGAAAACTAACGCAAAATCTTTTATAGCAAAAGTCTAAAATTATATCTCAACAAATTACTTGAGAACACAGAGCTGTGGACTAGGTAGTAAAATCACATTGCTTTTCTGGCTTCTCTTGTCAGAGAGGAATCATCCACAAAACAACTTGTTAGACTTTGGACACCATCAATGGTTTATATCGAAAACATATATAGAATTTCTGTGTTATTTATAAGACAAAATATGACTGTTTATTCGTTTACCTACTAGCATTAAAAGAACTAATTTCTCCCTTGAGACAAAAAGCTAAAAGATATGTTTTCTACAGAGCTGGGTTTCTTTTCATGTGACTAACTTCCAGAAACAATGAGGAAACCTGCAAGCATCCTGCTTCCCCTACTTCACCTCCTTGTCTTGTACAGACTCTCATATGTCACTGGATGCACAGCTTCCAGGAGAGATGAGTCTTCAACAGCTCCCAGGGAGCAATTAGCACAGCTCTCTTGGTAAAAACTGCATGAACTGAGATGGATGGAGCTTTCTATCCAAAGGATATAGTCTCCAAAACTAAAGAAAGGCCATAAACACAGTTATCTAGATCTGAGATACCTGTAGGTATTGCTTCTACTTCAAAGCAGGAAACCAAGATTCTGGTTTTCTGGAACTATTCTGAGCTAAATCAAATTTAAAATTAATTGCTTAAGTCTCTTCTCAACAGCTTTTTTCTTATTTTCTTTCTTTCTTTTTTTTTTTTTTTAAGAAAACAAGTGATGCATTCAAAATACAGCTATATAGAATATAGAGCCATATTAAAGCAACACTTCAAAATGTCTTCAAAAGAAAGTAAAAATGGATTTTGACTTTCACTGTGCTGCTGATTCTATGCGTAAGAGAGTCAACTCTAAACAGGGTACAAGGGAAAACCAGCAACTGAACAGTCTGCATTCCTTTCCCCCCCTCCGCCCCCCTCCCCTTTTTTTTTTGGTAAGTATCTCCATATCAAATAAATCAAAAAGGACAAGTTCATTTCTCATTCAGATTGTTGGCTTCAAAACCTCTACTCCTTATGTAACATAACCACAATTACAGCCCTCCTGCAACTATGGAATCGCATTGTCTCCATTCTGCATAGGTCTTGGTGATGTGCCCAATAGTACAATTTCTGGAGACTCACTTGAAAATTTGTCTCAAAATAAAGAATAGAAATTTACCTGAATGTAATAAACCCCCTTTTTCTGGGCGTACATCATAAGAAAACAGTAATCCAAATTTTGTTTTGTTCTCCATCTGAAATTAAAATAAAAACTTAAGGATTAGGAAAAAAAATAGTTATTTCAACACATACTGGCAATGCAAAGAACATCACACTACGAAGGATGACGCATATTACTGAAATTTTAGGACAACTGCTTTTGGCACTGCTCCCTCAGGAAATCCTCTGTCTGAAAAAAAGTAGAGCAAAGCCTTCTCCTTATGCTTTAATACAGACAAAAAAGTGGTTCAATTTGAATCTGATTACATGAAAACAATCTGACATTTCACTAAAAATACACTTGTATTTTAAGTGCAACAGAACTATTCAACAGAAACTATTGGATTTTACACTGTATTTCAAAAGAAACAAGAGTAAACAAAAATATCTACATACAACTCATGCACCACCAACAGGAAAAAAAAAAAAAAAGAAAGAAAAAGGAAAATCTTGTGAATTCCCAATACTCCTCCCAGAATTTAACACTAAAGGAATTCAGCCAAGATTAACATTAGGCTCCAATTCTCCAGAGAACAGCATGCAGATAGAACCAAGACTAATTCACAGAGTTCTTTTTGTATCCCCACACTTTGAAGAATTGCAGTAAGAAAACATTTCAAGAATTCACATCCCACTTGCTATTTCATAAACAAGAAAAGTACGGATGTGAGAGGAGACGAGGGATGATCTGGGGGATTAAACTAACCTGACTCTTTCTTTTGAGTCTCCAAAGGTCTCTTTCAAGTTTGTCAAGTCAGGATAGTAAGTTGCAGGAGGGGCTATTACTTCTACCAAGCCAGAATTGATCTCTGCAGAAAATCTGCCAAAAGAAACACGCCAGAAGGCACATGAAATATCTTGAGTGCTGGAGACTTCACATTTGCTTGCTTACTGTTGATGTCATTATTGTCTGATATAATGCACATTTGTTATGCATATGTTCCAAATGATTAGGTTACCTGTACAAAATATTATCCTAATTTTCACGGAAAAATGGGTTTCCCTCTAATGGAGTGACATTCTTATATTATGTTCATAGCATAATATTATGTTAATAGCTGTTTTACAATTTTATGGAATTACTTCCCCTTAATTTATCATCTTTTACTTATTTCTTCAAAAACCAAAGCCCACAAGACACAGAAAAAAACCCTCATTTTCCTATATTAACTTCTACTACATATCACAGCTTAATTCAAGAAAAACAAAAAGCATAAGAAAAAGGACCAAAAAAAAAAAAAAAGCTGTAACTTACTCTTTTTCCAGGCTTGCTACAACACTGTTTACATAATCAAGATCAGTCTGGGAAGAAAAAAATATATAAATGAAATACACATCAGCTTCAGAGCTACATGAACAGCACAAGAGCACAAGGGCATAAAGAAACAATAACAGAAACATTTGAACAGTGGCTGTATTTGAACATCACTTACAGTACGCAAAATATCTGAATAACGTACGAACATATCACTCCTTGGTCTAACAGGGAAAGGAACAATTTTCTGCATAAACACACAGGAAATATATGCCTTATAGAATTGTTTTTTAAAAGCAGCTAACCCAACTGTTGGTATTTTCTTTCTCTTAATGACAAGATGATCACTGAATATTTGTGCAGGAAAAAGTTGATATTGACATTATACAAAATATATACAAAAATATTACGAAAGAGATTTTCTGTAGAATAGGTCTTTATACATATGTTCTTTCAGAAATACATTTGATAAGCAGGGTTGATGCTCCGCTTTAGACAACAAGGATTTTCCTGGCTAGGTTTGCTGCTCTTCATCAAATGCTAAACTGAAAGGACATATCAGCCACTTGGTTCTTAAAATTGTACAGATTCTGATAATTAATTGCTGGGTAAAACATAAATCTTGACATTCTGGATAGCTATACTGATCACTTAATGTGCCAGAACTGGCCAACTATGCAGCCTATTCACTTGATCATTCACCTGCCTAACAGGAAAGGGAAGTTTCTAAATTCATGAATCAGAGTGAAAAACACCACCAAGGACAAAGAAACAAACAAAAAACTTTATCTTTGTCATACTGACTAATCTAACAACTTGACATACTATTTGTCAGTTTTCAGAGGAGATAATTTCAGGTCTATAATTTGGGGGCTCACAAGGATTCACAGAAACAGCTGCCTTTGAAATGATGGAACAAAGGCACGGTTCATACTTTTTGCTGGTGAATTTGTAATGCAGATTATCATTAATGGATTATACACACAGAGAATAAATCCCTTCCAAGATTTTCTATGGAACTACTAATCTTGTTTGATAAAGGTTCTTACCCTTTGATTTTAAAAATCACCATTCCTATTTTCAAAGTTTTCTTTTTATAAAATCCAACATAATGCCAATAACATATGCTTCTCTAAAAAGGACAAGAATAATTTTCCTCCAAAAGCAGCTTTGAAGATATATAAGAAAATGTGAGTAAAAAACATTTGCCATATTTTTTTTCCATAAACATTCTCTTCATAAGCACTACTATTGCTTATTATTGCTCTAAAAAGAAGTTTCTCTTTTAAGGTCTTGGCAACTTAGAACTCATCCTACAATGAGTTCCTCACAAGCAAACTCACAAGCCAATGTGAACCTGATGCATCAGTTTAAGTTGTTAAAGACACATAGGGTTTCTGCATACACGTATATCGCAGGATGGAATCCAGGACATAACATTTTTTCTCTGTTTTCAATCTTTCAAATCAATGACCTATTTGTTACCTACAAATAGTTCAACCATTAGTACATCCCTCTTTCACTGAAACATTTCCTTTCATGCCTTTTCCTTTGAAACATTGTAAAATATAGAAACTGCTGTCTTGTTGACATGGGAAAAGAAAAGTAATTTGAATTTCCTGTTGACATTCCAAGTACTGTGAATAACCAGTCTAATACTGGTTATACTTAGCAACTCAAATACCTGTTAAACAAGACATGCAATCATTTCCACATATAGAAGAACGTAAGAAAAAAAATCATATGTATACCAGAAACACATGAATATAAAAGTATCTATAAAGTATCTAAGAGATTAAACTAAATGCCTAGTCTGATCCTAAATGAAAGCATATATTTGGCCCCCAAACCTATGCCTTAGTTTAGCCTTCCTTGAAATGAATATAATTTTGACCTATTCTACAGATACACCACGAGGTCCTGATAATGCTTGTAAAATGACATGCTTACACAGAAGGTACTGCAGGCAGAAGAAAAGACATTCTGCAATAGCAATTCTCTACTTATTGCCCCTCCCCATCTGTTTGCATCCCTCATGCAAAAGGTTGGCAGTTTCCCATGGGGAGCTGCTATCATCCTAGCTTTAAGTTAAAAAATTGTACCCTGCAGACTTATAACCTCATCTTGCAATCTGGTCTCCTGTCAAACCAATTCAAGATGGTCTGGCCTAGCCACACTGCACAGTAGATAACTAAGTGACTAAGTGGTGATTCAGAGGGAAGATTGCCTACTGAACCAGCATTAGCACGGGGCAAGAGGAGGTGCCACTTTAAGAATGAAAAAGAACATCAAGATTTTGAAAACTGTCATTTTTCACAAGAGTGAGTACATTGAAATAGGATATTCTGCCATTATTTCAAAGTAGTTTTACTTTCATCTATTAGCAAGCAGTGTCTGAAATCCAGAGCTAGGATTTCAACACCAAATCCTTCCCCTCAAGAGGGCAGGGTGACTGTTGTCTTTACACATGCCCACCTCCAGAGGCACCAAACGCCTTTCATTACCCAACCTAAGACTGAGAGGGATCTTTGCCTCAGCTTCAGCTGTGGACATGTCCCAAGAAGGCATCATCTGTAAATGATTTCACACAACCTGATGTAACAAAATATGAGACCATGCAGTGAATTATGTCAAGCCGTGACCTCACCTCAGGGAAGAGCTAACTACACAGGAGGAAGAAGTGCATGGAACTGGGAACGACCAGATAATTGCTCTATCCTAAAGCTCCGTCTTAAATTCAGCTAACAACTAAAAAATGATGGAAACTCTATTATTGACCAAAAATGTCAATTTTTTTTGAGGAAGAAGGTGCTCAAAAGGTCATTGCCTTAGCAAAATAAAACCTAATATCCTCTTTAATCCACCTGCAGAATGAGACTGCTGAAAATAAGCATAAACTAATATGAAGGAGAAAAACCCTTGTTTTCTTCAGGATTCTTAAACAGGACAAGATAAATCCAGATTGCCCAAAAAGAATGTTTATGTCTGCCAATTTAGAAGAAAATAGCAAAGAAAAAAGTTCTTTTACTAAAAACTCTTATGGGTGAACATAAAATAATCCCTAGGAATTGGGACTCTGAGAAAGGGAAGCAAAACTGAACACCTGGAGAATGAATCCTTTTAAAGTGATTAAATAAGGAGTTGTAATAGGCCACAAGCAAAGAGTTAATGATGCCGGCCACAGAGATGCACCTTATCGAGGAATCACTTAGGGCCTCATAAACAAGTTTGTCTTGTTAGGTAGATCTCTGGAAGCAAATGAGAAGCATAAATAAGGGTGGTTACTTCAATATCATCAGCTCAAATCTTTCCTGATTGTTCTTTCTTCCTACCCATATGAAATCTCTGATCTCTGAGCAAGCACAAAGCTCAGAACAAGACACCCTCCATTCTTCATTCCTAACAGATCAGCCAAGAGATCCAGCTAGCTCAACAACTTCTTTCCAACAGTGACATCATGAAAGGACACACGAAGAAGAGCAATTACAAAATGAGTATACGCAATAATACTTCTTCCTCATGCTATCCATGCTCCAACCACCTTCAACTTGGAAATTTCCCAGGCCGGCCATGATTTTGTACATATCACTCTTCAGTAGACTCCTTTTCCATGTACTTCCCCAGAATCTCCTGAAGCCATGCAAACTTTCAGCGGGAAAGGACATTTTTGCTTATGAAACCTACATAGTTTTTCCACAGAAAAGGCAACTAAGATTTAACTGCTCACCTTGGCAGTTTTGATGACTAACACACACAGCGCTTTGATGAATCTCTCTGGAGAAAACAGGAGTCAGTTGTGGAATAAACTAAAGTTTTGGAGTGTTAGTGAAGTAAGTTTCTAACTTCCTTCAATCTTTGTAAAATGCTGCCCTACAATTCCCTAAAGAATCTTCTCTAGTTTACATGGGTATATATTTCTAATCTACAGTTATTCTACGGTTTGCCTGTTATCTATAAAAAATGCACAAAGCAGCAGCATAGTAATGAACTCCCCAATTGTTTTTATTGATGCTTATGACAGACTGTATACATAGCAAAGTAGTAGGGAATATACTCTCTAGCAAGCAAAGTGAGAAGTTAGGATGTTTCAGTTGATGGCTGAACAACTGGAAGCCAAAACCTCGATTTCTAGTTTTAAGAACCAACAACTCTTTCATACTGTTAAATATTATTCATGCCTCCAAGAACAACAGAAGACGGGCTACTTCTTAAAATGCAAGAAAAAAAAAAAGGCAATTTATACTGAAAGTACTATGTAGATCAAGAATTCATCTGCTATCTTGCCCAGCAGCAGATGCCCAGAAAAAAAAAAATAGAATACAATGAGCATTTCCCTCGTATACCTCCAAGTACTCAGTAATCAACAGTTCACAATCCCCTAGGCCCAAACTGTATCCATATCATTACATTCAGTAGTTTCTACTGGACCTACTCACAGTTAGTTTTCTCAATTCTTTTCAAAACCAATTCATTCACTTATATTCCACAATATCCTGTAGTAACAGGGTCCACAATTTAGTTCTGTGATTAGTGAAAAAAATACCCTCATGAAAAAATTTAGATTTTGCTTCTGAATTTCACCCAGCGAGTCATCCAGGTTGCATCTTTGTCATCATGTCAAACTGACAATCAGGTCGAGTCCATGTATGTAAAATTAGAATGAGCACCATGGGTGGGTCCAAAGAGGACTGCCAGTGACTGGGCATGCAGGCAGAGTAAGTACAGAAATTGTTTGCATCAGGCCATATGGTTATTCTGTCAGGGAAGAAGAAACAGTACTGAAGAAACAAAAAACGCCTTGAAGTTCAGACAGCTGCACAGTGGGAGATTCTTGTCCTTCCTTTTATTTCTCACCCTACCTGTCCTGTGAAAAGTTTGCTAGCGATATTGGAAGAATCTTTGATGTTGGTTTGGCTGATAGATGTTTGATAATGTTGTCCAAAACCTACTGATAAACATGGTGCAAATTCAGTCAAGCATCCAGCTACACGCTCATCTGCTACAAAGCTTCAGAAATAGGTTATTGCTTTTACTTTCAATCTCACAGATGTTCTGGATGTTACCAGAGAGACAAAACACAACTCTGCCTATTACTGGTAACATTTCCTCACCACAAACATCAAATCTTAATGCCCAGGTGCATCTCAAAAGAAAAATTATAAAGAGAAGTACTTTAGCCATGGAAATGTAGGGCTTTAGTCAAGGGCACAGTTCTGAACTTTATCTTTCTGCTGAAGTTATTGAATTTGTTCCAGGCCCATGGCAAGTTCCAGATTCTCATCAAGATCCTCTTGTGAGATCTATAGGAGATTGTATCACTGGTATTAATCCCATTTCAAACTTTTCTAGCCACTGCCAGGAAAAAATGAGTACAAAATTCTGTGATGATGCCAGGTAACAGCAATGTGCACTCTTCATTCATTTTGGGTGCCATAGAAGCTGGGATTCCAACAGCAGCTTAAATAAATCCCTCGAATACTCACTGAGAGCCCAAGCTAAACTTCCAGATGCAAAAGTTGGCAGTATAACTATATATAGTTGGTAGTATATCAGTATAGCTATGTATATGTCTTTTTTTTTTTTTCTCTCATCTTGATCTGCTTTGAATGAGATGTCCAAAGCAAAGGCTATCATCTATGTAGGCCTTTAAAAATTCCTCATGAAGATGATGGATAGTTTGCCACAACAGCCTTTCTAGATTCGATTTAAAATAAACAAACAGCATGCTAGGATCTGTGGGTGCTTTTCCAACTCATGCAGCCAGGTCATCTGGGGACACCTGGCAAGAACACTCTTGCCAGGCACTGATGAGGCAGCTCTCAAGTCCTTGGTGAAGAGCAGAGAGAATGGAAAGTCTTCTGTAGCCAGAATCATATAGACATATCTGGGTTGAGAGCAAGAGAACCAAAATACCCCTTTGTTTTCTATCGAGAGCTCTACTGATCAAATAGGTCTCTAGTTCAGGCCCACGGTAAGGAGAGATGAAAAATCCAGGCTTGTTTATTTTGCTGGAGTCATTTTCCACACTGTACTCCAATGTTAACGCTTTCAAATCAGGTTTCGCGGGGTTTAATGAAGTATGTGCACTCAATGAGATATTTATTCATGTTTTGTTTGTACAAGTGCACAGGATGAGACCATGTTGGGTGCTTCGGTCACACTGTGACCCAGCAAACGCAGAAAAATTTCCACCAAAGCAATAAAGAAAACAACTGCTCTCCACAAAAACAGGACAGAGAAACCATTATCAAAGATTAACATCTTTTAATTAAGCAGCAGCTATTTGCAGAAAGAGCTGATAAGATAGGAGCAAAAGGCATTCAAGATCCACAGGTTTCTAGTCTACCTGAACCAACGGACACGAATAAGAAACACGCAGGGAAATACAACACAAGCGCCAGTGCTCCAAGAACAAAAGGTTGTTCAATTATTGCCCATCAGACGTAATCAGAAGCACATGGTATTAACAAAATGATTTTGCATAGCTAAAGTATCTTACGATTCTATCTGAAATTATTTGCCTTTCTCATATTCTTATGAAATCAAGGGCTCATAGTTTTTCAATATACATTGATTATTACTTGTATAAAAGGCTATGCTCAGAGCAGCTGCTGATTACTGAAGCGAACAGACAATTATTTGTGATAGAAATCTCTCTAGAATAAGCCCATTTTCTTCATAGGAACCAAGATCTCTCCACAGGGAGAAATCTTGCTTAGATACCAGAAAGTACTTTCTCTCATATTCAGTACTATACATTTCTTTTATATTATATCTGTTGTTCAGCTGTGATGCTGTAAAGTATTTCAAAACCATGTTTCCCATACTAATTACAATCACTACCAAATAAATACACTGGGCAGTCATTTTAATGGGGAGTTCACAGTTACTGAAACCCATAGCTTACAGGTTATTCTGAAAATCAGCTAAAAAGAAAATTTGTGAGATTTGAACTGTCGATTCAAGTTCTCATGAGCACATGAACTAGCTACATAGAAAGAGAGTAAAAAGATTTTAGTATAGCAGTATAATGAGTCATGCCTATTTATTAGTCATCCTAATGAGTACTTGCAAATTATTCGGCAATGAAGTGATATTTAACAAACTGGAGAACAGATATATGTCAGTTACTGGTGCACGTGCCACAGTTTACTGTCAAGCAAATCTATTAATCATTTAAATTGGTGATTAGGTATCACATCAACCCAGATATTTTAGAATTCCTTGAAATTCCGGTTTGGAAATTTACTGTGTATAATGATATTTGGGAAATATCCATAGCATAAATGAATATTCAAATCTCTTCAGCAACTATAATGCAGCTGTATTTACTAGCTCATGTTTACACTATTCATACTGTTTGCCTAGGTCATTAGCTTTTTCCATAAAAAGAAGTCAAATTTAAGAAAGGAGTAGGAGTGAACTTCAGGAGGGGGGAGGGGAGGGGAGGAAGAATTCCAGAAGTTTTGTAGGATGCTAAACACAAAGGATTATACTCCATGACAGCAACTCCTAGCAATGCTTCTAAAGCACTGTCAGCTTGATTTCTCAAATAAACCGAGTAAGAAAATGCTAGCATGAGGCTTTCAATATACCTCATTCTATATAATTCATTTGTAAAAAACACTTTTGTAAACTCTTACTATTCTTTCTGTTGGTTCAGACTACAGACAAAGCACAGATAATAGTTTAAAGCTTATTGGTAAAATTTAATAGCCTCTAACTGACCCTTTCTTTCTGTACTTTAACTGCATAGTTGCTTGGTGGAGGTCCTCCTATCAGCAAATTTTGCTGCTATTTTAAATACAAGCATGGATGATCAGAGCTCTAATACATATATATTAATTAAGCCTTCATTAAGGTAGAGATTAATGATAGCAATAGTCTGATGCATTTTAGGCTACGAAGGCTCCAGCAGTCAAAGCTATTTTAAAGGAAAGGACTATTGCATTAAGAACAGAGATATAACAGAGAAAATGCTCAATAGTCCTACATTCTTCAGGATACATAAGGAAGTTGAAAAGTACAGGGTAGCTCAGAAAAATTACAGTATATATCAGGACAGTAGCACAGTATTTACTGTGCTACTTTATTGAGTTTTCTGTAGCATTCTCAGAACAAACTGTAGGTTACTGAAATTAAGAAAATATAAAATATGGTAAAAAATGTTATCTCTTGATATTTTCAACCAGCAGATATTTAAAAAAACCTTTTCTGCAGAAGACAGCATCTATTCAGACACATACGTTTCAGCTGACTGGCAGGAAAAAGAAAACAATGGAATATATATTAGAAGACCAGCTGAATCAGTTCTCAGGTAGAGGTAAAATTCATTTAAAAAGAAAGCTTTAAAATGTGCTAATAATAGAAGTACCCATATGTATATCTGTACTAGATTTGCAAAATAAAATTGTCCAGACTTTCAAAATATCCAGGATGTCCAGAAAAACAAACAAACAAGAATCCCAGCAACCTAGCACCTCCAGCTGTATCATCTGATGCATCACAGCTAAGCAATAGCATGAAGCAAGCAAGGAGACTCACTTCCACAGCACCACAGAGTTCCTTGAACATCATTTTGCTGTTGAAGGAACAAGCTGACTAGCACATCTTGGTCACTAGGTACAAGATCTGCAAAATAACCAATCCATTGAATTTGTGTCTGCTATTGGTCTGATAAATAGAAAGGGCTGGGCTCTTCAGGACTATCTCTCTCAAGAACATCAGACTGTGATGCTGCCTCCTCTCCGTAGAAGGAAAAGACAGTAATTTTAGCATGCGGAGAAGATGATGACCCAATGAGTTCCCAAAATGAATGGTACTTCTGATTAAAAGCAGGTTAGAAACAGAGTAAACATATTAAAGTGCTTACCTCTCCTATAAAGACTACCATAACACAATCCAGTTTTTCTTCGGGGGACAGCTTATCAATAAGGGAGTGCAGAGTTTCTGTAAGGTAAGACTTGACTTTCCTTTTCACTGTAGGAATTCCCATTACAATGGAAACTGAAATCAAAATAAACCAGAAACATGATTCCAGTAACTTAATACACAAGACAGAAAAAAATATTTTGCCTCATAATATAGCATTGCTTCAGAAACACATAGGGTTAAAAGACTGAGATAACACAGTAATTAAAATAAACTTAAAAATATACCAGCATCATCAGGAACATGATTAACAATCATCACCAATGCACAGAGCAAACAGGGGGAAAAAAAAAAAAAAAAACACAGCAATCCTAGACATGTCAACTATTGCGTATGTAATAATCCATAACCCTGATATTAATCAGGAAAGGTTGCACCAAAACTTAAGACTCATTAGCCTCCCCCTTCCTTAGTTTTATTTTCAGAAAGGCACAACCACTCTCCACAAATCACTTGTCCACGCAAGTGCGTATTTTTATATTCTCAGAAAAGTGACATGGCAAAAAAAAAAAAAAAAAAAGAAACCCTCCTCTTACTTCCCTGGCATGTGATTTGAGTTATTCTGGATGCATAGAACTAGAAGTCATCAGGAAAGCCTGAAAACCCCTCACTGAAAGCTTTCATACCCAATAAAAGTATCCCCAATAGAGTACTGCTAACCCTGTCTTTCAGAGGACCCCTCAATTCTTATGTTCCTTAACTTCTTCTGAGTCTCTTCTCCCTTGCACCTCAACCTGCACACAGGCCTGGATAGCTACAAGGCACATGGCAGGTGGGCAATAAAAGCACGAGCCAGCCTGCATGAAGCAGAAGTTGGCACTCTGGTTATTTTGACTGGGGCCACTCATCTGTGTGAAATGATTTACCACATTATAAATATACATACTAAGACAGAACAAAACCCACAAATACTAACAGTTTTAGTGAGCAGCCCCTATAAAATCTGCTTCATCTAGAAACTTCACACAAGTTCTGAATTATTAAAACAAATACCCCAAAAGCACAATGACCACGAAGGGGAAGATAGTGGAGCAAATTTAATCCAAAGTTTCTTTCTTTTCCTTTTTTTATTTAAAGTGATTCCAATTTTTATTTTGTGATTTTAAGCTTCTGTCAAAATTTTCCAGCATGATATAATGCAGGATTTTTTTAAAAAAAAAAAAAAAAAAAAAAAAAGACTGAGTATTTTCCTTTCTGATTGACAGCATTGAAAGAAACAGTGTCTGTAGTCAGAAAGAGGGCCCTCTGGCTTAAGCCCATGTTTGACACACAGCATGCCTTATGTTAAAGGAAGGAGGACTACAACTTACTGCTGTAAAGAAAACAGATACAAGCTAGGAATAACTAATAATGTCTTTCAAAAGGCAAGAAGAGAAAAAAAGAAAAAAAGAAAGGAGATCCAGATAACAAGAACATGAGCCGTTCATACCGGAGGGCACACAGAGACACAAGGATTCACAGGTGGAGCCTTACTGCCTGCAGACAACACACATGCACATGCTCTGAGGCGGTTAAACTTGGTTGGGCTTTACCCTATCTCTTTGCTAGAACTCCAAAGTGAGATTCAGTGGAGCTACCCTAATAACAACAATTCAGAATTTGTGAGGATTAAAAGGAAAAGGGATCACCAGTATTGCAGCACAATGCTGAATTAATTCACTTTTTCCTCCAATGTCCCCACTTTATTGATGCAATTATGACTCATTATTCTTGTGTTCCCAACTCTTATACACTGAAATATGTTGTGCAAAACACCATAAACACCCAGTCTACCATAATTATATCTGTACATGGTTGCCCCACGGATCTGGAAAGCTAAAGGAATGTGTCCAATACACAGTTCAGAATCTGTAATATTTCTCTCCTTTTTCCCTTTTACTTAATTACAGAATTTCACCTACTTCTTAATGTGCATCTTAAGATGGGGTGGGATGTGATCGAGATTCTGCAGAAAAGAGCAAAACTGAAGCCAAACTCCTTTCATCTCGGGGTGAGAGCAAATTGTAAGAGATCTCAATATCACACAAGTAAAATGAGATGTCCTTGATCTAACAAGCAATGCATAACAATAACTAAAAATCCTCAAGAAAGAAAACATAAAATAAGCACCATATCAGCATACCTCCTGTCCTTCCCAGGCCAATCTGCACAGAGGGTTGAAGGCTTCCTTCATTTTTCAACAAATGAGGCAAGTGGTAATAGATATTTGGCACTTGGAGAGATTTTCGGCTTGTTAGCTCTTTTATCAATTTTAGTGTCTCATCTGCAAACATATATGAAATCAGTAATGTAGAAAATGCAAAGGCTATGTTTTACTGAGTGGTAGGTAACTCATGCACTACACCAAGCTTGATCCTTAACTAAAAACAAAACAAAAACAGAACAAATGATGCAATTTAATGACACATCAAGTTTTGTGTACAACACAAATCTTTTTCAGTTTTACTTTAAAAAAAATATGGCCGAGACCGCTTTCTATCCAGTAACTTTGTTGTCGATACAGTTAATATTTACCTAATCACATAGAACTTTCACTGTGTAATCACAAAAGTAAAGAACACTCCATTTACTTATTTTCCAAGGGATAAAAATTAGAGGCTTATCCAGATGATTTTCCTTTTACATTTAGAGAGGTCATCACCAGGTAACAATTTAAATACCAAATAAATAACTTTGAAACTATAAGTACATATTAGAATACATTTAACGTCAGATACAAAACAAAAAAGCATTAAGTATACAATATGCTAAGAATCCAAGCATTTCTACAATAAAACAGACACCAGTATAAAGTTAATTTAATCCATTTAGAATATTTAAAATATTTCTTGCTGTTTTTAGAATATACTGTTCAGATGACTCTCAAAGCTGCAAATAATAGTTTTCAAGTTTCCTTGAAATTCATATCAATTTTCTTGCATCAAGTGCAAAACAACATTTTTTTTCAAGACATGAAAAGCACTACAGCACAGGGACCTTTGAGAACTTATGAACCTAATAGCATTAGGTTAGGTCAAAAAGTAGACTCAAGGTTCCCAAGAAAAAAATTCAGTTCTGCAGAAGAGAGGAAAGGAGAATAATTCCATAGATGTGTCTCATTGCAGATTCTGAAGATAGCTTCTTCAAAGACTTTTTTTTTTCTTATTTACAGATGAAACAAAGTTCCCAACTGCTTCTGATCTTGAAAAATACTTTGTAAATATATGCAAAAGTAGAGATGCAAATTTTGATAGATTCCATCATAGGCAGTTTTACTTTTTTCTGCTAACATTTCCTTTAGCTTCAAATGCAAAAGTCAGAGTCTCAAAATGTGACAGCTCTTTGTATGAATGAATAATGACTTATGCAAAACAACCTGGGTTTCTTTCGGATTTGAAGATTGCGAATGCTACATAGTATTCTGTATATTTAAAGACATTTAACATACTAAAATCTACCTAATAATAGATTCCAAGCATCAATGTAATTTAGTTAAACAAATTCTAAATTTCTGAAACAGCATCTGAAGCACAGAATCTGATCCCCAAACCATCAAATTAAAAATATGCTGCTTCAGACATCCATGAGGCCCAAAAGGTACCTGTATGAATTGGAATTCCATGAGGTTACAAAGCAAAGAAAATGACAGAGTCGCTGCTGTACCATTCCTGGAAATCCAGAGGACAAGTAGAGATCAAGATGGATAGACCATTGATGTCAGAGCATTGGTTAATATCAGCATGGAAGGCCTATGATTATAACTCTAAGGAAAGATATTTTTCAATGGAAGATCAAAAATATACAAAGATCCACAGTGCAAATCCATCCACGCAACAGATTAAAAAAAAAAAAAAAAAATCCAATATGGTAGTTCAAAAAAATGCAGCTATTTTTCTCATTAGACCTAGTGCACTGATGTAAATCAAAATCACTGAAATAGTGGGACTGAATTAAAATGGTAACTGCAAGAATCTGATGAGTTGTGCTAAGGCATTCTTTAATATTATCAAACACAGTTTCTACTAATCTTGAATTTCAACCTCAAAAATGGGTTAAAAATATCATTTTAATATTTACTCACTAGTCATTCAACATGTTACCTTTCCATTTTACAAATTATAACCATGTTTTATATAGTCTATATTTTTTTTTATATTTCAGTAGATTTTTGAACATACTGTAATTGCTTCAAGTTCATCACTTTCTTAAACACTTTTTCATTTTCCTCCTCAAAGCTAATTTTAAAAGTGATGTAAATTACTGTCAAAATATCTGCAGTATATTAAATAAGTAACCAGAAGTTCCAAACTTTTGCAGCTAGGCAAAGAATAAGTATTCAGTCCCTAAAGACATAAGAATGAAGAGTGGGTGGATCATTAGGAATAGAAAATGAAAAAAAAAAAAGTGGGAATAAGAGATCTATTGTTTTACATAACTGAGCTATTTGCACCACTGAACAGTTTCATTCAGCTTTCTTGCTATCATTTTTTAGTCCAAAGTTATGAGAGGAAAAAAAAAAAAGTCAATCATGGTTTGTACCTGAAAAATTATTCAGTGCATTCTTACTCCCATTTGTTTCTGCTACTGCACGCCTGAATTGCTCCAAGATTGCATTCAGCTCAGAAGAGCGTTGCAGCGTCCGATGCTCAGCTATACGAAGACGTTCCTTCAAAGCGTGAAATTCCCGTTGATATGCAATCAACTTTTCTAGAGGGATAAAAGATGATCTTGATTATTTTTCAAGGATAAACACCTACGGCCCAATCCAACAGGGGACAAGATCACAAGGTGATTTTGAGTCCTTTCTCAAAACAGATGCCCACCAACATTTTCTTCTAGAGGGCAGGAAAGGAGCGGTGACTTGCAAAGGATAGGTACGTCTTTAAAAAGACCTCTCTGAATACTTTTAAGAAAAAGTGGATTTTGACAGTATATCAAACACATTAATTTCAAGCCCAAGTTTTAATTTAAATGCCTGCAAGGTGAAAATTTGGATCAAAATCCTGTTTGCGTAGATACACGCATGCACATTCTTCAAAAGGAGACCTAAGGGCAGAAGGAAACATTAAAACTTCTTTGACTCTTTGTCTACATCTGGCCCCCTTTTCCCTCACCATCCAGCAAATTGACTCTCTCCAGTTAGTGCATCTTTCCTTCTTCCTACTGATTACTTCCCCAAATCTCCTGCTCATCACCGCTCTTTTTACCAATACAGATATTGACTGATGTATCGTAAGTAATTTAATAGTTTTCATCCATATCCCAACCACACAGTGACATCCACAAACAGAGCTTTGGTGTTTGCTGCCTCTCCATCCTTAGCTCCTAGCCCTACAATGCTGGGGGAGCAAGACTTTCTACAAGCAATTGGTACCTCTTTGTGTTGGTGCAAATACAGTGCAGTAGCGCATGGGGTAAAGAAGGGATCACAGCTTTCCTGTGTTGGTCAGACTGCATTTCCTCCAAGTTCTTTCAATTTACTTTTTGTGTGTGTGTGTGGATGTACTGTTCTAATTATATTTTGAAAACATAATTAACTAAAATGTCCTGTGTTTAGAAGACAGAAAAACAAAAACATAGTTTGATACCTCTCAGAAACATTTCCCTTGCCAACCTTCTTTTCTTTTTTTTTCCCCCACTACAACCAAATGGTTGTTGCTTTTGTGCCAACAAGGCCAAAATGCAGATGCTGGCCCACGTTACAATATGAGGCCAGACTGCGATCTGAAACAAGCCTTGCTGCTTTTGTCAGCAGTATCGAGATGGCCAGGAGAGATTTCTGGAGTTTCTAGCATGAAGGACATTCTTATCTAGCAATGGCAACTCCAAGAAAGCAAACCAGTTACATTAAAGCTACGAAACGTTCTAAAAGCTAAATTAATGTGAAACTGTGTTAGCGTAGATGGCATACTTTTAGCCACGCAAATGCTATTCCCAAAGGCACCTTTCCCTTCTCCCACTGACAAGCGAGTGAGTGTTGGCAGGTTAGAGACACCTCTGGTAATTTTAGTCTAACCAGGCAAGGACAGCCAAGGTTTCATTGAGCCCTTCCCTCGCACAGGATGGTGGATGGCCTTGGTGCCTGGCTCCTGCCCATATTTGTGCTGCAGGGGAAGGAGCAGGAACTTTAGTGCTTCTCTCTGTCTTGCCTGCTTGCTCCCAAAAGCAGAATTCTCTATGGCACAGCCTCTACTTCTCTGGGAAATGCAGAGAGAACCCAGCCCACGGCACCTACAGTTCGGACTCGAGCCATGCAGGTAGGATGAACTCAGCTTTTTCTGCCACTAGTTAAAAAAGTCTCGTTTTTGCAAAGCTTGCTTCTCTTTATACACTTACACTACAAAACGCATGTCTCACAGTGTTCACATCATTTTGCTGCCATAAGGAATAGCAGAGCCCTGCAGAGAACAATTTACCTAGGAATAAATCAAAGGGGAGAAGGACAACACATCTGTGCTACCTTCACCAAATAAACTCTATAATGGAAAAAGAATTACAAATATAATTTGTGATTATATGTTTATATGCAGAGTCTAAACGTTTTCTGTCTACCTGATCTAGGTAGGTAGTAAGAAAACAGAAATTTACAGGACTCTAGAAACTCCACAGCTGATTAAAAGTTTCAGCTGCAAAACCATGAAAAAAAAATAATAATAAGAGGACAGCTGAAATGGCAGTTTTATAATGTGAATGAATGACAACTATAATTTTGTGTTAAGAATTTCTAAATGAAAATCACTTACTGAGGAGATACTGAGATACTTTCTGAGAAAGTGACTGTTACAAAACCTTTAATTCATGATTAATACAATACCTCAAAAAAAAAGGGAATTCAGTAATTGATTATTTTTTAAAGAAACTTGATATGTATGGAAATAAACTTTTCTTTCCATGACCTATCACAGAAAGGTTAAGATGGAAGGGACCTCTAGAGGTCATCTAGTCCAACCCCCCTGCACACGCAGGGTCACCTAGAGCACGTGGCACAGGACTGCATCCAAGCGGGTTTTGAAGATCTCCAGAGAAAGAGACTCCACAACCTCTTTGGGCAGCCTGTTCCAGGGCTCTGTCACACTCAATGTTAAGAAATTTCTCCTTAGGTTCCTGTGGAACTTTTGGTGCTTCAGTTTGTGGCTGTTTCCTCTAGTCCTATCAGTGGCCACCACGAAAAGAGGCCAGCACCATCCTCCTCACTGCCTCCCTTGAGGTATTTATAGACGCTGATCAGATCCCCTCTCAGCCTTCTCTTCTCCAGGCTGAACAGGCCCAGCTCCCTCAGCCTCTCCTCATAGGGCAGATGTTCCAGGCTCCTGATCGCCCCTGTAGCCCTGCCTGGACTCTCTAGCAGCTCCACATCCCTCTTGTACTGCGGAACCCAGAACTGGACACAATAGCCCTGGCGTGGCCACATCTGGAGTGAGTAGAGGGGCAGGAACACATCCCTTGACCTGCTGGAGATGGTCTTCTTAACGAACCTTAGGATCCCATTGGCCTTCTTGGCCACGAGGGCACACTGCTGCCTCATGGTCAATTCGTTGTCCACCATGGCGCCCACGTCCCTCTCTGCAGGGCTGCTTTCCAGAAGGTCAGTCCCCAGCCTGCATTGGTGTCTGCGGCTATTCCTCCCCAGGTGCAGGACTTTGCACTTGGCCTTGTTGAACTTCATAAGCTTTCTCACCGCCCAGCCGTCCAGTCTGTTCAGGTCTCTCTGGATGGCAGCACAAATATTACCTCTATTACCTGATAGAGGTAATAGATAGCAGCACAGCTTTCCACCTTCCAGAGAATGGGTACTGATAGGAACTTCATGTTATCATAGAGCTCAAAAGCCCAAATCCCTTTAAGGAATATTAGTTGGCTGATCCAAACTAGTCAGATTCTCACAGTTCCTTCAACCAGGCATGCTCGGGTTAAGGAGACAGTTATAAAAGATATTTGAATTCCAGAAACCCATCCTTTAAAAATCCATTGCTGATTCTTTGCTAGGTCAAAATATTATTCAGACAAGCAAAGACAAAATCATATTTTAAATCCACTGCCCTAATAGATATTTTTTGTAGTTATTTAAGCAAAAGGAAGTAAAAAACATTCTTTGTAAGAACTGAAGTCTTTAAAAATGTCTACATCTCTAATACTAGGCGAACTAGCACTTTTCCTGTATGTGGAGAGTAACATTTTGGTCTTTTAGGACCAGCTTTATAGTGGCCTGTAGTTTAAAATTAATTAAACATTCCTGACAATATTTAGCTTTTTTTTTTTAAGAAGAGTTATGTCTTTGACTCAGGTAGTATTTCAAAGCACTAATCAACCACTCAGATAAACGCAAGAGCAGAAAAGTTTCTCTCATACTGAAATGTACTTCTAAAGGAGAAAACGATTCTTAGGTTCTTGCAGTACCACCAGTAGCAGTCATCCACATGCCCTAACTTTAGAAAGGCAAATGTCCCTGAGGGCCCCAGGAGTTTAAAACTAGAACTCTGAAAAATCAAATCACATTAGGTACTTCAGCACAAGTGCACCAGACTAACTTTAAGGATCTATTTTTATATAAGTTTTGACTTAGCTCTGGTTTGATATTTCCTATCTGAAGACGTTTTTCTTCATTTCTCGTATAATTATTAGTAAAATCTTTTCACTGAAAAGTAGGATTTCACAATGAGAAGGGCTCTACACTATATAAAAGTCCCATTTATATTTTAAAGTATATTTCTTTCCTCACAATGAGGAGAGAATCAAAAACTGCAAATGACTCTAGAAGTATTCTGCAGAAATTTGAGGCACTCTTTCTGAAATAGTTGTGTATTATAAACCTAACATATACCTCATGTATCAAAAAAAGAGTAAATCGTGTAGCCAGCCAATGTTTTCGAACATATTTAGCCATTTAATGTTTTACTCTGGTTTATTGTTCAAAGTTTCTCTAAAATCTAAAAAACAAAACACTCATTTTTTCCCATCACCATTGTAACATGAAAGAAACAGCCACAGAGATCAGTGAATTCTATCATGAAAAAAAAGTTTCTAAAATAACTGATACTACTTTAAGTATTATGAGCCTCTCTCTCCTTTTTCTTTTGCTGAAACCTAGCCTGGTTTAGGAAAACAGAGGAAGGAATTCAGACAGCATATTACTGACCTTAAATAACTGATGGAAAAATAAAGTCAAATATATATTTCTGTCTTTTGACAAATAAAACATCCTTCTTTAGGAGGAGTAGCAGCAAAGGTCAAACACATTTGGTCGCTGATAGTTTCAGCATATAGTCATATTTCTATTTAAGAATGATACCCCACTTTATATTGAAGTGAGGTGATTCATTTCCATACTTTACTCTAGAAGTCAAGATCATCAAATAAAAATAAGTAACTCTCACACTTAATTTAAAAACGTTCTTGTTAAGAAATTATTTGAGAACTGAAAGCATTAATTGTTTGTTATTTTCATTTAAACTTTAGTGGATTCAGCAAAATCCCAGAAGCTAAAACCTAAATATTTTAGCTAGCTTGATGCTTTGCAATTCTTGGAAAATTAACACTATGTCAACTCATTCAGTAGTTTATTTTCTCAACTTTTTTTTCCCCTTGTTGCAAGCTGTTCTCCTAAATATGCAGAGGCTAGAATTTAGACAAGCTCACTTGAGAGTTGACATCATATTTTGAAAATTAAAAATTCAAACCAGACTGTGAAGGTTTGCAAGTCTTTGACC